TTTTGAGAAATATGTAAAACAGATATTTTATAGAAATTATTCAAATAATGAATTCAGGACCGCTACTATAATCAAAAGATACAATAGAGTCTAAAAGCAACAAATTAACAGTATAACCAAAGTATTTTCTTTCAAAACTGTAATTAAGATGGATCAGAGATTGTGACTATGCTTCAAGTATTTTGGGTACATCTGGACTCATGTTTCCATTTTTATATCCAATTTTAAATAAATATATATCAAGATAATTTCTCTCATACGCACGCACGCACGCACACAGAGGGACAGATAGGGGAGAGAGAAACACACTTCAAGGTACATTTTAACACAAATGAAAACTCAAGTTTCCTTAAAAGTGGTGATCCAGGTTTTTGTAAGAAAACAAGAAATCAGCTGGATCAGAACACAGGCACATCTAGACCAGGACCAAGTCACAAAGTGGTCAAATATATATATTTGGAAAGTTTATTAGCTTGGACTAGAGTGAGTGGATGATAAGTCCTTCCATAGTTACTTCTCAGTAGTCCACTAAGAAAACAGGAAAGAGCTATCATATTTACTGGCCACTTAAAACATACTGTAATCCTGCTGTTATGTTCCATAGCACTTGCCAGAGGCCCTATCAACTTACCTACGCTCCATAGGATATGCCTGTGGCCCATGTAGGCTCTGTACCACCTGCCTACAATATCCTCTGTACTCCATACTGCCTGTCTACAACATCTGTGTACTTCCCTCCACTCCTTGTATGGGACTCCTGCCTCTTCCTAATTAATGATCCATATAATTTTGAGATTATGACATTGTGCTTATGACCTTAGCAATGGAAATCCAGTCCTAACTGCCATTGTAACCCGTGGACTATCTGTACCATCTGCTGGCAGCAAATTCCACTGGTCAAGACTTTTTTGTCCTAGACTAAACATGCTATGAATCCTATAGGACTTTTAAAATTCTATTTATAAAGTATTAAATTACTTTTCATGTCAATATTATTTTAAAATGTAACTACCCATAAATATCACTATCAAATAGTTTGTAAAAAACACAATTATATGAACGATCAGACAAGACTAGTTATATGGGTGCATTTTCATACATGTAAAAACAGCTGGATTCTGCTTTTAAAGCAATTACTTAAATCTTGCAAAGGACAATCAGCTTTAGTATTTTGAAGAGAGATGTTAATTGATCTTATTGAATTCATTTTTCACACGCTTGTACAATCTTAATACATATAACTTAGTTAAAGAACGAACAAGTACAGTACAGTATTTTCAAGTTAAAGGTAAATCATGTTTTCTTTTATATGAAAACTAATTGTCAGTTATGAAGAATTATAATTACAATTAACATTAGGACATGCAATCTATTTTTGAATTTTTATGGGGGACATCAGATTTCATCTCAACTCTGGCAAGATGGAATGCTTTTGGGACCACCTGGATCTGGAAATATATTTTCTTTAGTTTTAGATATGGTGGCACTGTCTCAGACCGACTCTATCACCTGATGAAGGTGTTGGAGGGCTTCTGGAATGTCAAAAGGAATAGAGCTAATCTAATTTTGGGGGAAAGGAATGTTCCATAAGGTGGGCACCATGGCAGAGAAAGCATGTCTTTTAGGACCCACCAAATGTAGATCCACTATTTTTTTTTAACAAAATTTTATTAAATTTATATAGGTAAGGAAAAATAGGAAGAATACAGGTATGGTAAAGGGAAGGGTAAAAAGGAAAGGGGGAGGGGAAGGAAATAAGGGATTAGGGTAAAATAAGGATAGGTACAATCACATATTTCAACAAACAAGCAACCGTCTGTTTCATAATAATGAATAAGTATCATATTCAACCATTTTTAACAAAGCTTAAACTGTAACATATTAAAAATAATTAGTAAACAAATACATTGATCTATTAAGAAATCTTAAAATCTACTAAAATCACACACACAAAAAAAATTAATAAAAAAATAAAAAAAATAAATCCTAACAATCAAAAATAACAAATGAAAATCAGTAAATCAGGAAAAGTAATCGTATCATCAAAATGTTAGAACTCGATTAAAAATCAGTCATCTATTCTAAAATATTAAATCCTTCAAGTTCTAACGTGTCTCTAACCATTGATAAAATTTTTCCCAAGTTCTAAAATAAATTGAATCATCTTTTTCTTTCATTTCTAATGTTAGTCTATCCATTTCTGCACACTCTAGAATTTTGGTAGTAATATTCTGGTCAGATGGTAGATTCTCATTTTTCCAAAATTGGGTAAATACTATCCTTGCAGCAGTTAAAACATGCAATATCAAGTAGTCATTCTCTTTATCATAATTAGGTCTTAATATTCCTAACAAAAACAATTCTGGTTTAAATTCTATTTGTAGTTTCATCATCTTTTCTAACCATCTATGAATCTTAGACCAATATTTCTTAGCAATAGGGCATGTCCACCGGGCATGGTAATAAGTGCCTGGCTGTTGCTTACATTTCCAGCAAATATCCGAAACATTTTGAAACATTTTCGCTAAGCGAACTAGTGTCATATGCCATCTATAGAACATCTTTTATAAGTTTTATATAAGTTTTCTTTATATGCTACCGCTTTTGTAAACTTAATGTTTTATCCCAAAGTTTTTGCCAGTCTTCCAAATCTATAGAATATCCAAAGTTCTTTGCCCATACTATCATTGTTTCTTTCACTTGTTCTTCTTCCATCTTCCAGTTTAGAAGAAATTTATAGAGTTTTCTAATCAAATTCTCATCTGTTTTTAACAAAAAATTTTCCAATGGGGTCTGTTCTTTGTAAAAACCAGTCAATTTTATATCTTTTTCGTATCTTGTTTGAATTTGCAAGTAGGACCACCATGTCAAATCAATACCTTGTAATTGTAAAATTTGCCTGTCCTTAAGTTTTCCCTCTTTATCTAAAATATCTTTATAACTAACCAGTTTGTCATAATTAATCAGGTTTGGATAGGCAAATGCTTCCATTGTTGAAAGCCACTCAGGTATTTTCAGGTATATTTTATGTTTAATTTTCTCCCATTCTGAAAGTAGTACATTTCTTATTGCATGATTCTGAAAGTACTTATGTGCTTTAGATTTCTCATACCATATAAAAGCATGCCAACCTAGCTGAAGGTCATGTCCCTCTAAATAAAGCAATCTTTTATTTCTCAATACAATCCATTCTTTAAGCCAAAGCAGAATAGCCGCTTGATAGTAAAGTCTCCAATCTGAAAGTCCAACCCCCCTCTATCCTTAGATTCTTCTAACAATTTACATTTGATTCTCGCCTTCTTTTTTTGCCATATAAATCTTAAAATCATTGCATTTAAATCATCAAAAAAATTCTTAGTAAGTTTAACAGGCACTGTTTGAAATAAGAAAATTAGCTTTGGTAAAATGTTCATCTTAACCGTCGCTATTCTTCCTAAAAGTGATAATTGAAGATTTTTCCATCTTTTCAAGTCCATTTTTATTTGTTTCATTAATCTCTCATAATTATCTTCTTTTAGTGTAGTATACTTCGCCATTAAATAAATACCCAAATATTTAACTTTTTTGACTATTTGAAGATTTGTCATTTTAGTAAGTTGAGTTTTCTGTTTGTCTGTTAGATTTTTTGTTATTACTTTAGTCTTTTCCCTGTTTATTTTCAGATCAGCCACTGCTCCAAATTTCTCAATTTTCTGCAAGAGTTTAATAGCTGTTTGCAATGGCTCCTCCAGAATGAAGACCAAGTCATCCACAAAGGCCTGTAGTTTATATTTCTGATCTTTAATCTCCAGGTCTTTAATTTCTGTGTCTTGTCTGATATTTCCTGCCAAAACCTCTAATGTAAGAATAAACAACAGAAGAGACAACGGGCATCCCTGTCTAGTGCCTTTTTTAATCTCAAATCTATCTGTGTAATCTCCATTTAAAAGTATTCTTGCTGTTTGTTTCTTATAAATTGCTTGAATTGCTTTATTAAAATTTTCACCAAAGTCCATTTCTTGAAGTTTTTGAAAGCAATTTAAATTATCAAAGGCTTTTTGTGTGTCAAGAAATATAAATGCAATCTGGTTCCCTGAATGGATTTCATAGTACTCCAGAACGTTTAAAATAATCCTCAAGTTATCCTTTATCTGTCTTTTTTGGTAGGAAACCATTTTGGTCTGGGTGTATAAATTCATTAAAAAAAAATTTCATTCTTTCTGCCATTATTGCAGCAAAGATTTTGTAATCTAAATGTAGATCCACTATTGATGATACTTGCAAGCATGCCTTTTCTGCCCTATTGCTCAAATTAATAAGTTAAAAACTATAGATCCCAATTCAAATATTTTGGAAAATATTTGTTTATCTTGTTTAGTTATGCAGAATAATCGGGGTGTCAGCATAGGGAAGGATGAATGGAAGAGCAGTAATTATCACTGGAATCCTTTATGAATAACACCCCCGTGCTGCTTGCAATAGAGTATGTTTTTTCTAAGGAAGTTTAACACTTGATTTTTTTTCTGAACAGAACCTGGGCTGTTGCAATACTTTCCATTTCTCCATACTTAGATTTTTCTATTAATTCCTCTTTTAAAATCAAGCTTAAGCCCTAGTGATTGAATGAACATATCAATATTGTTTCATTGGCAATAATTTATAACTGATTTCTCATTCTTACAGAATTCTTTTTACAACTTCCTAGTCTAGCCAGCAGGATTGGGCTTTTCTGGCTTGCCACTGCTTTGTTTTTTTTCAACAGTCAAGAATTATTAAGTAGCACTGTGGAATCTTCAATTGTGTTCACATTCCTCACAACTTGAATGTTTTTAATACTGTCAATATTTGTGCAAACTAACATTCTTATAAAATTGGCTGAGTTAAATATGTACCCTACGAAAATGGAATAATGGGAAACATTATCTCAATACTTTGGATCAATATCAGTTTACAAAACATTGAGATATAATCCACCATTTTCAGCATACTATAAACTTATTCAAAATGAATACATTTATTACCTGTACAAGCCAGATACCATCTTTTGTGTCTTCTACTAACTCATAAAAGTGCATTTCACCACTGAAGTTTGTACTGGAAACAGATTCAGAGGCTTCCTCTTCCTTGAGAGCAGAATAAAGTTCACCTTCCATAAGGTCTCCTGAAAAATGAAACAAAAAGAAACATCAGTACAATAACTAAAGGTCATATTAGTCGAAAGGACAAAAAGTAAATCAAGATTATAGATTATATTTTAAAAGAGTTGGGGAAAAGCTATAGACGTATATTGGTACACATCTTATTTTGTAATTATAGTGGATCTAATGACCTGCAGATAGCCGATGACTCTTAATTATTTTATTACTCTATAAAATTAATGTCTTCCAATATACAGTAGTGACCAAAATTGTGGAAACCTTTTGGGAAAAGTGTACATTTGAGGTTTGATGGCTAATAACACCACTTGTTTTTGGAGTAATACCATAAAATTATATATCAATGGAAAAATAATTTAATCAAGAATGTAATGCAATAACTTTTATGAAGGATTTGTTATTAGAATAGCAGTTATAAAAAAGAAAAATGAAACAGAAAAAACAAGATATACAAAAATTATCACTAGAAAAAACAAGATATACAAAAATTATCACCATGTCAGTTAATACTTAGTTGGGTAACCTTTAGCATGAATTATGGCCTTACAACATCTTCCCATTGAGTGAACCAAGTCCTTTAGTTCTGCAGCTGTTATAATGTGAAACCAAGATTCAATTATTGCTTCTATTAACTGGGTTTTATTGCTGGGTTGCTTCTGACTAACAAGTTTCTTTAGCTGACTCCGTAGATTTTCAATTGGATTAAGGTCTGGGCTATTCCCAGACCATTCCAGCAGTAGAATATGATAATCTTGAAACCACTTTTTGCATACAGCAGCAACATGACATGGAGCTGAATCCTATTGAAATATAAATGCTTCATTGTCTTGGAAAAGATCATGTGTGGAAGGCTTCAGTTTGGGCTCAAGTATTTTATTAATGTATTTTTGGCCATTTATATTCCCATTAATCACACAAATTCTGCCCACACCTTTTGATGTCATACAACTCCAGATCATAACACAGACTGGGTGTTTTACAGTACATGTAATGCAATCAGGATGCAAGTCTTCTCCGATTGTTCTGCTTATGTATTTTATGCCATCACTACCAAACAGGGAGATCTTGGTTTCTTCATTCTAAATAACACTGTCCCATTATTCCTTTGTCCAGGTAACATGGTTTTAGCCCAGTTTAGTCTTTTCAACCTTTGTCTGAGAGATCAAATTGATTGAATGTATTTATTTAGTAAATTTATGTAACTGTCCATATGGGTTTGTACTAGCACACTGTACTTCAAAACCTCTTTGGTTAGTCAATCTGGCTTAGACATGAAATTTGAGTCATTTTACTTAAAAATTTCATCCTAGGAAAAAGATAGTTCTGTTTTATTCATTCAGATTGCAGATGAAGGGAGCATACCCATATTTAAGAACATCCAACTTATCTATCTATTCCAGACAGAACCTTTCCCCTGAAGCAATTACATCTAGATATCTTGAAACTTAGGTGGAAAGGATGGACATTCCAGGAAAGGATTGAGCAAGTTATGGGTTTGTGAGAAACACCTGAAGGAGAAAATAAATCCTGAAACAGCTTGGCCTAACAAAATGGCTTCAGAGATGCTTCAACGTTTAGCCAAATATCTGAAGCTATAAAAATTAAAGTAACTTACTAGGTGCTGAAACTGCAAGCCCAGGGACTCTTTTCCCTCTGGAAAAGAGGGAGGACTGGCTTCCTCTGTAGGGAACGGGAGGGAGTACTGGCTCCCTCTGTAGTACTGGCTGGACATCAAGCTTGCAGACAAAATAAACAAAAGATTAAAAATACAAGTTTGCTATGAGTATGTGTTTGGGTGGGTCTGTTGCTAAGGGATGCTATCTTTTTCCTGTAAACAAGATCACAATATAAACTTTGCCTCATCCTTCTCTCAGTGGTCAGAACTTTATATTCTGTCCCATATGCACCCAAAAAAACTTGGCTCAAGAAGATTGTGTGTCTCCACTGGTCAACTGGGTCGAGGGATACTCCTATTCACACCTTGCTGCAATAAGGAAATTCTAGTGAATGAGATTAGTACCATTTATTTTATAATATGTTATCTCTTTTTATGTTACCCAGATGATAATTACTTCAAACATCAACAATAATTTATATTATTCTGTAAACTAGAATCTTAGTAAAAAAAAAATCCAAACCTTTATGGGCAGTAAAGCTAAAATCAATGTTCCAGAAAACATTAATCAATGTTTAGCCCTTCATAGAATCAGAGGCCAATTCTTAGGAATATTACCTTTAATAATATATGGTTTAGTTCTTCCTATCCTGTATCCTTTTCTTTGCACTTTTCCTTGCTGAGCAATGCTTTAGGTTCCCCACATACTGGAGATAAAATGGGTCATGGTCTGGAGGCAGAGATTTCTGTGGTAAACCACACTGTTAAAGAGTCTTTTCCCAAAGACTATGGCACCAGTCCATATAGTTGCTGCCTATGTTTTTACAGTATTACGTTTTTAAAATGTTTTATTGTATTATGATTCTTGATTGTTTCATTGTAAATTGTACCAAGTTGTTTAGATTTCACAGTATATAAGCTAAATAAATAAATAAATAAACCTTCATTTTGTTTTCCATGAAATAATCCCAAACTTTATGGGGTAGCATGGCATGGTAGCAAAATATGTGAGTTCTACATTTAAATATCAATCTAGACATAAACTTAGTTGGTAGCTTTAAGCCACCTTCTCTTGGCCTTAATCCCATCCATCTCTAGTTCAGAATAAAATTAACTTAAATGACAGAAAATATTTGCATTAGGCAATAGAACATGTGAATAAAAATACTAAGTTTCAAGTAAGAAAAAGCCTCACAGCAGCTCCTTGCTCATTAAGAAGATTGTCATGCCTTGTCATTCCACTATTTGTTAAATGAACAAATATATACTGAACATGTCAGTTATATAATCACTTAGCCTATGAGTATTTCCAGATAGAGGGCTTCTAATTTCATCTATCATAATGCATCATGCAGCTATTCCATCTTTCTCTGGACAAGAAGTTTATAAATAGAGGACAGCATCTGGAGAAATGGTTCCCAGTTTGTAGTCTATGGATTACTGGTGATCCATGAGAGTACTGCAGATGGTCCATGGCTTGGCAGCACAAGTAACGTAATATTATCATCTCTACTGGGAGGCCTACAACAGATAAATGTATTGTGATGAGTACAATGCATCTATGAGTGCACAGATTACAAATGCAATTTCTACTAATTTAAATAACTTTTAAATACAAATTAAACAGGCTATATTAAAGGTTTTTGCTTACTTGATGGCCTGCAAAAGCTTTAGATGATGATACAGTGATGATGGTGGGAATAGATAGTGAATTACGTATCTTGACCTTTTTAATTATTCAGAGAAATTTAAAATTAAATAAGGCATGGTAATTTTATAATAAAGCTCTCATCTAGAAGTAATCTATATCCTTTCAGAGTGTGTGCAAAGTAATAAAACTGTTAAACAAGCCCAAGAATTTTAATATTCTACATTATTGAACCATCCCCTAAAATCTGTTTCAGCATTCCTGTTTCATCATGTGAAAATCCTACATTAGCTTGAACTTTTATGTTGATGGAAGGGAGGAAATAAAACAATCTATACATGGAGTTTCTTGAGAGTAATGAAATTGCTGTAGAGCAGGGAAACTGTAAACTGAGCTTTAACACTATATATTATTTCATGAACATGAGTCTACAAACATACTTTCCTTCCTCATTTAAATATAAATGAGGAATTATTCAATAATCTAAATATTAGATAAATAATACTACGTAAATTATCCACAGAGGCAATAATTATATTAAATGTGTTATCTGTAATAATTACATCAGCATCTCATCATTTGTATCTCAAAAATATTCAAAGGAAATCACAATATTTAAGGCTATTTAGGTGTCAGGGAAAACTTATACTTTCCTTCTATGTAATTAAAAGGTTGAGCAACATATTTTCTACAATTTAAGGCCTTATTCTTTATAATAGTAAATAGTAACAAAGGACACTGGAAATCAAAAGTTACTGTGTGAACAAAAGAAGTGTTCCAGATTATATCCATTCTGTGCCATTCCTCCTGCCTCTCACAGCCAGTCAGCATTCCACAGCTCTGAGAGTACCTAGTGTCCATTGGATTGTTTTGGGATTTTCTATAGTGATTTTTTTCGATGTTTTGTGGACTTTTGTTCTTCTGATAACTTCCTTATCTGGGTATATACTCAACAATCATACCCATAATCTTAACAGAAATAGGATATTGTAATTAAGAGTTACAATATTATGCAATAGGGATTTCTCCAATTCTTCAGTTTAGGTTATTTCCTTTAATTCCTCTTTCCTGATAGTTTTTCACCCCTCCTTACTATTGGGTTCAATATGTATGCGACATCTATTTCAGTGCTTTTAAAAATACATTTTTTTACTTATATGCATTAAGATTTTCCAAAGCCTACCAAAAGCTTTCTGTTGTAGACAGTGCTCACAGAGACTTAAATTCACTATTATTATATATGGCTATAAATTTCATTGCGTAATACCAGTATATATTAAAGATATAACTTATACCATAGAAAATTATTTCACACAGCTCTATCTATCCCAGCTATTCTATGCTATTTTTAAGAGTAGATAAAACAGGACTATAAATGGCAGTAGCAGAAATATGTATAAAATGTGATAAATTGTCTTATTGCAACATATGGTTCAGACTACATAAAGTTATTAAACTAGGATCTAAACTAAGTTATGCTTAGTAGATTGAGAGAATATCTGTAAGATATCTTACCTTTCAATTTTTAGACATCATTTAGAAAAGGTTATACGCTTTGTGAAATATAATAAAAAACTTTGGTTGAAATATCTAATTTGGCCTATTTCATTATTTTTATTTATTCATTCATAAATCATATTTATAAGGCCATCTGGTTCCAGATGAATCTGGGTACAATCAACAATAACAACTAAATATAAAGGCTATTAGTCATAGGAAACACAATGATTAACATGGGGAAATAATTCATTCCTAACTTTACATGTACAGAATTATCCAAATCTTCCTTGAACCATTTATTTGTTTAAAGGTCAGTCTTATTGTTAACTGAACATAAGCCATTTACTAACCTTATTTGTATATAAGGAAATATATTTCAGGTGCATAGCACATTATATCAATGTAAGAATATCTGGTTGTAGGATCTATGTGTATCTGCTTTCAAATATTAATGCTAATTCTCTCTCTAGGATACCATTTTTTATACTTCAAAGCTACTTAAAGTATCTATTTTTTATTACTGTCCTAATCAAAATCTTAACAATTCCAACAAAGATGTTTTAATATTCAAATTATAAACTTAATTCAATTTCCAAATTTCTCTATAAACTTTGATCACTTTCATGCAGCTCAGTCCATTAATTTTAGTATTGTTTTTCATTTTCAAGCAGATAAATACTTTATTATCATGCTGCATTCAAAAGTCCCACTAAATTCAACAAATCTTATTTTAAAGTAAATGTGTTGAGTTGTAGCCCAACTCTTTGCTAATCTTAGAATGTCTATATAGTAGGTTAATTCTCTTCAAAGCGTTCTGTCTTTGCACGTTCAGAGATCAGAATAGAGAGAATGATGGCAAGACACTATTTTACAGAGAAGTAGAGAGCAGCGAAGTAGTGAGCCAAAGGAATAAAGATGAGACATTAGATTTTCTTTTTTAATTCCTCATTCAAAGAAGTATAACTACAGTCTTAATAGGAACGCTTAAATATTGCTTCTAAATTAGAAGCCACTAAATATGAAGTCAACTTCCACCTAGAATTAATCCGGAATGATCTAACTGTATATCATAGAAATCTAGATGAACAAAGGAGAGGGACTTTGTACAGCAAATATATGATATGTTACGATCTATTAGGACTTTATTTTACTTTCCAATGGTTCTTCAATTTGAAGGAATGTATCAGATCACTGACTCTTGAAATAACTGAATACACACAATAATAACACAATACTTAGTCTGTAGTCTGTGCAAATTTTCTTATTGATTTGGGGTCCCAGAATGCTATTATCCTAGAAAGGAGTCACTATCTGTGCCAAATTGGTTTTATGTTTTCATGACACCCATCAAAGGTCAATGATATCTAGAGTTTCACATTGGATAGTGAGGATTTTGTGCTACGCAAGAATATGTTAAGAGTTAATGGGTGTGAGATTTAGGCCAATTTTATTTTCATGTATACATAATTATCAGACGGATTATACTTATAGAAAACCTAGATTCAATTTCTTCTTTTAGCAGATTTTGGTAAAAAACTGGACAGAATGAACTGATACGTGATGTGTATTGGATTGGATGTAAGCCAATAAAATGAACTTCACTATAATCAAGCTGGAGATATTGATACTCAATTGACAGGAAAATGGGCTCTGATTTGTGATCAATGGTACATTATCACATTTTCAAATGTTTCTCTTTAGACTTCCACTAAACTATCCATGTACCATTACTCAAAATGTCCGTTTTGCCTGTTTTAGCCCACAAGATCATAGCTATGTAAAATACATTTGAGAATAAGAAGGTTGATTGTAAGGCCTTTCCTTCCTTAATATATCTAACCTGAACTCCAATCATAGCTGAAAAGCAGGATATGCATATAATAAATAAAAATATTCCATGCATAAAATTGCATAAACATGTGTTACCAATAAGCCAAATACCATTCTATAGGATATATGTTTACATAATAATTGGCTATGTAGTCTTGACATATTTATGAATATGAACTTTTTAGAAGTATGGAATATGATAGATATAATCAGAACCAAAATATAAAACATGGATTGAAAGCATATCTCAGCAAAGTGATAGAATATGTGTATTAAGAGGGCAAAAGTTCAACCATGCATATTTTCAAGTAAGAATCTGACAGAAATCTCTTCCCTCGGTATGTTATTACTTCATCACTGTCTTGATTTCATGCCAAAATGTACAGTAATAAAAATATGGTCTCACCAGATATAAATAGTTGCTCAACTCTGAGCTAGATGGTGCCAGTGGCTGTTCCTTGTGTTCTTGTAAATTATTCTTTCCTAGTTCTGAGGAAATAAATCCTAATCTTATTTTTAGCTAGGGAGTGGTACTGTCCTCACAGTTTTAATGTGAACAAGTTAAAGAAAACAACTGAAGGATTTCCCTGAAGGATTCATGTGCCCTGTTATCAAACATCAGGAGCCCACAAGAAAAATATTCACTAGTCACATTCTTTACTGGGGAGGGGATAGCTTAGTGGCAGATGGCTAAGTGGCCACTCGTCAAACCTTACTCTGCTTCTGCTTATTCACAGAAAAAAATGACTTTTTGTCTGTCTCTCCAGCAGCTGAAATCAAAATGGACATGAAATGATCAGAGGGAAAGGGTGTACCTTTACAGCCTAAGTAGCCAGTGTGAGCTGGGTAGATCCGATCCCCAACTATATCATCTTCAGCATCGTCAATGAGATGTTGTACCATTTGTACATCAAGATTTGTGAGGAGGAGGGGAAGAAAAACACTGCTTTAGATCTAGAACAGGCATGTCAAACTCGCAAAGTCACATGACTGCGCAATGTATCATGATTTTTTTCCCCATTGCCAGCAATGGGATGGTTGCGGTTTCAGTATGATGCATCCGGCCTGTGGTCCGGCAGTTTGACATACCTGATATAAAACAACTAAATACAAATTTGACTGCCTCCAGAGTAGACTGGGTATAATATCAATGCAATTACTTTTAGCAACAGTTAGTAAGACCACTTTGTGCTGCTGTTGGAGGGACATGAAGAGCCTTTATTATAAGGCAGGAAGCTTCTAATATTGTTGAATGAAGGACTAAATACCAGGCAGTCGAAACAATAATCTACGCAACTCAAAGAGAGATATATGTAACTTCTGTGAAAATATCTCATAGATTTCCTATTGAAATGATGCATAATATATTGACTAATTTATGCGATTATATCTACAGCTGCATTAACAAATTTGAAGCATGAATGAAAGTATGCTTGGAAGGAGAAGGTATTTGCTTTGAAGTGATTACAGAGTCCTTGACTTATGACCACAATTGAGTCCAAAATTTCTATTGTTAAGTGAATTTATGACCATTTTTCCCAGTTATTAAAGGAATAATTGCAGTTGTTATGTGAGTCACATGGTTGTTAAGTGAATTTGGCTTCCCCAATGATTTTGCTTGGCATAAGGTTGCAAAAGATGATCACGTAACCCTGGGACACTGCAACCATCATAAATATGAGTCAGTTGCTAAGTGTCTGAATTTTGATCATATAATCATGGGGCTGCTGCAATGGTCATAAGTCACTTTTTCCCGTGCCACTGTAACTTTAACGGTCACTAAACAAATTGTTGTTAAGTCAAGGACTACTTGTGCATCTTCAACACATTTCTCACTGCTCAAAAGTATGCAAGTGAACTAATGTACACTTGTTAAAGATTTGTATTTTATTAATTATAGATAATCCTTGACTTACGACCACAATTGAGCCCAAAATTTCTGTTGTTAAGTGAGACATTTGTTAAGTGAGTTTTACTCCTTTTTATGACCTTTCTTGCCTCAGCTGTTGAGTGAATCAATGCAATTGATGTTAGTAACCTGGTTATTAAGTGAATCTGGTTTCTCCATTGACTTTGCTTGTTAGAAGATTGCAGAATGGGATGACATGACCTTGGGACCCTGCGACTATCATAAATATGAACCAGTTGCCAAGCAACTGAATTTTAATAACATGATCATGGGGATGCTGCAAAGATTATAACTGTGAAAAATGGTCATAAGTTAATTTTTTTTCAGTGCTACTGTAACTTTGAATGGTCACAAAATGAATTGTTGTAAGTTGAGGCCTACCTGTACATTAGAATAGTTTTTTTTGATAAAAGCTTGTTAATTAATAGCAAAACTTAGCAGTATATTTAAACACATTTTCTGAATATCATTGAATTTAATGAACTTAAATATGAACAGTTTGTTTGCAATGAGAACTTGAGCATTTATTTCATAGCAGTATCTCTTGAGTATTTTCACCTACATTCAGACAGAATTTCCCTTGCACTCAGAGATACACTTAAATAATTCCTGTTGAGTGACAATGCATTTCAAGCCTGCGGTCATTACTAATTTTATTTAATGTCTTTTACTGCCTTAAGGCACTTGTCACATCATAAAAAGGACTGCAAATATATTTAATAAAGGGAAAAAAGGTTTGGGAGGGGGAGGAGAGACAGCAATATTGAAAGATAAGCCTTCATGAAGATATTGTGCTTACCTGATTTCTCAACCAGCTCTCTGACATCTTTCTTTTCCAGAAGCCCTGAGTACCCAAGTCCCCTGCATTCCAAAATGGTCTTCAGCTTTTTAAAGCTCAGTGCCACTGGATCAACCAACTGGGTGGCAAAGAAGCCAGTTTCATACCACACAATGGCCTCAAAAAACCTGGCCAGAATAAACAAGACCAAAAAATAAAGAAGCAAGAAAAACAGTTTCAGCCACATCTTTCTTATGTGTGGATTTTCGACTCTCAGAAGAGAGTCCCTCAGTCCTACAAGAGAGAGAAAAAGAGGAATGTCCTGATGGAGGAAGCAAAGGGAATCAGGCATTCTGAACACTTTAGGTCTTGTCCCTAATGTCAGGATCTTTCCCTTTTTCTCCCCCTTTGAACAGAATCCGAAACGGTTGGATGGATAGTGAATAGAAGACCTGGAGGCACCTTGGAGGAAACACTGGCACTGGCTTAAGGCAGCCAGGGAGTCACCTCTCCTTTCAGACCAGTTGATGATAAGGCAGAAATACAACCAGGTAGTGGTGGTGCAATAGAACTTTACCATGAAAAGGTGCTTGAGGAGCGGCACCAGTAGAAGGGCTGGAGCTTTTCAGGGATGAAAAAGGATGAGCACTAAGGGGGAAGGGAATTCTGGAGGGCGGCATCAAGGAGGGTGATTTTGCGTTAGAGATGTCAACTAGATGGGGGGGGGGCGTTCGAAAGGGAAGAGAAGACCCAAAAGTGGAATGAGAGGCACTCCTTGGTGGGGGTAGGGAGCATCGCCGAGGAAAAGGGCAGCTGGACTGAACAGGGCGAGGCACCTCGCTTATTACCCCTTCACGGGCAGACGGCGGTCCTACTTCTGCGGGGACCGCTGGCGGTGACTTGGCTGGGCTTCCGCGTGCCCCGTCGTCGTCGTCGTCTCCCCGCGGCGGAGCAGAGCCCGAGCCGGAGGAGACATAACAAGTGACGTCTACAGCCGCGGACGGCCGCAAAGGGAGGGGGAAGGGGAGGGATGTGGATCCAGAAAGCCGGAAAGGAAGAGATCTAAGCCACCCAAGCAGTTCTTCCTTCCTGGGCGACCAACTACGGCGCTCACCCCCGTGACTAACCTGGGCGTTGCTTTCCACGGATTTGTTTACCTAGAAAACCTGGCGGTCGGTCAAGTTGAAATACTTTTATCTTCGTTCGTTTAGCACAGGCCCTGAAGCTGGTCGTTTGCCTTTTAATCTGCCTGGGCGATTGCTAGGCTAGAGACAAAACGATTGCCTCTTTCCGCCTACTTTTTGTACTGGTAGAGAAAACAGTGGGAGCAAAAAGAGCCGATGGAACAGTCGGCTCTCTCAGTAGGTTCTGCAATCCCTACTAGAAAGTCAGTTTAGTCGAAAGCGGTAACCCACTAATTGCGTTTAAATTCTGAGCTCTAGTTCATTCTCAAACGAAAATCTGCAACCGGGGCTAATGTTAATTAACATTAAAATCATGTTTCCTAAGAAGAAACAATAGAACTGTGTATATATCATCTCTTCCTCCCCGAAAATCTAAAGAAATATTCTTGCAAGTCAATCATCCTGTATAACATAAAATTATAGTGTAATAGTGTCTCAAAACAGTCCACCAAAGTATCCAGTATTCAAATTCTATATTGCAAGCTCATTGAACTTGTTTAAACATAGCATTAATCATTAATTTATTAAATAAATAATAATTCACATCTTTCTAAGCCAGCAACCAGATACACATTGCATACACATTTCAGTGACTGTCTTTCTGATAAGCCCCAATCAATGAAGCCATATCACAGCTTAGCAGTGGTTGACACAGAGGTACTCTGACATTTTTCCACTGTTTACATATCAAACACAAAACACTGTCATTTTAACACAATTAAGAACAATGTATAGGGTTTTTTTTTACTTGTGGAGTGAATACAAGATGAAGACAACATTGCAGACACAGCAGAAAACATACTGCCAGGGCAGAATTATGCTCTGATCAGCTGTAAATAGGGAAAGCCTTAACTCATTGATCAGTGCTACGTTTAAACTAGTTCAGTTGTCTTACTGGGCCACCGCTGCAGAGCAGCTTCAAGATATATAAAATCTATTAGGTATTGACACCTATTACCCCAAAGGAAAGCCAGGTGATAGGCAACGGAACTGGTGATTATACTAAATGAATAGTAATTCACAACTTGTTCTCAGAGTTCTGACCATTGCAACACCCCCGTGGTCACAATTTGGACCCAGTTTCTCGAATCCACGCTATGAATTGAGTAGATTAAAAAAAAAGGGGGGGGGATTGCCAACAATAGCTAAATTTGACGAATCCACTATCGAACATTCCATACCCAGCTCAGGAGAAAAACAAACACAATCCCGCCGTTTGGCCCGGAAGTAATAATCAGCTCGCGACGGAAGCTTACACGAAGGGAGAAAGACCTAAAATAATCGCTTCCGTTTTCGAATGAGTTCGTTAGTGGCGTGTCGAAAACGGATCCGTTTCCCGTTAAAGACCCCATTGAGGGAAACTCCCAAAAACAGCCCCTTCTTTAAGAGTCTCGAAGCCCTTCGGACGCTCTCAATTCCTGCTTGAGCGAGATCAATCTTAGCTGTCTAAGCTTATTGCCTGACTTAAATGCGGAAAAGCTGCGTGAAAAAAATAAACTTGACACAAGACCTTCACTTAATTTAAAATTAAAAAAAAATAATTAAAAAATTGAAATAACGCTTTCGGTGGGAAAAAGACCCTATTGGAAAACCCCCATCATTTTACTCGTACTGGAACTGGTTTGACTTTGTTGGTAAGGTTTTCCATGTATGTCATAAGCAGATGTCTTAGGGGTGAGCGGGAAATAATGAATATCTAAGATCCCGCAAAGGTCCTCTTTAGCCTCTTCAAGGGTACTTTCGAATCGTTTTCTATTTTTAATCGTAAACTCCAAGGTTCCTCTTGAAGGACCTCCAGGCTGTTTACAGCGCTGCCTGTGACGCATCTCCAGTATTTAGCTGGTGGACCTCAGCTGTCCTGCGTGCTGCCTGCAAAAACAACAACTCGCCAACCTGCTTAGTTTTGCTCCTTCGTTCTCTTTCGCGGAGGTCCTCCGTTGAGTGTCCTCCGGCCGAGCCATACGGTCTTGCTTGGTCGGCGGGAGGACAAGAGGGCGCCGGAGGGAAAGACAATGGACCAATGCGTGACGGTGGAGCGCGAGCTAGAGAAGGTGCTTCAGAAGTTCTCGGGCTACGGGCAGCTATGCGAGCGGAGTTTGGAGGAGCTGATCCAGTACGTGGCAGGGCTGCGCCGCGAGATCCTCCAGAGCGAAAGTATGTGCTCCCTTTCTCCTCAAAACTAGTGTTCCGAGTTGCTGTTTCTCCTGAGAATTCCTCTCTGTGCGGGTAGAAATTCAGACGATGAAGCTTGCTCTAAAAAGTCGGCTGTTTCACAAATCGCACACCAGCCTGTGCTCAACAGGGCATTGTAACTCCAGCTTTTTAATGAATGTGTCTATACTATATATAAGGTGTTCATAAGACATGAGGGGGGGAGTTATACATTATTAGAGGAACTCCTTGAAAAAGCTTTTGGACAAAAGAGAAACCCTCACCAAATGTTTCAGCATTTTCTTTATGGGGACTGCTGTAAAGAAATAGGTTCAGGGCTAATTAGGCAAGATAGTAAATTCCTACTCTGGCTGTTTTGTTTTATCCCAGTCGTCTTGTATGTATTGTATTTCCTCATTTTCTCAAGCTTTATAAATGTGTCATCTCTTTCTTTAAATTTGCTTTTAGTCATGAGACCTGCTATGCTTTCAGTGTAACAATTCTGTTCATTTCTTTTTCATTTCTTATCATTTGGTTTAATCAGGTTCATTCTCAGAACATGCATATAAAGATAAACTCTCTTTTACTTCAGTTATACTTCTTTATAGTTGGCTTTAATTTTATATAAGATTCCTCTTTCAAATCCATTGCAGGAGACAGTCTGCCCCTCCCAATGCTGGTCTTTTCCATTGGTTAGAACTGTCTGAAATAGGTTAGAACTATTTAATAGTAAAAGAATACAGTTGTATCTTCCATTTCTCCCCACCCTCAAAAAGGAACAAATCCTCAAAAATACATATGACTGATGTAAAATTAATTGGGCAGGATATGATTCATATATCTTCTGACAATTTCAACATCCCTACACAAATTTTCTTGAAAGGCCAATTTGAGAGAGGTAGGTGATAGTAGAGTCAGCATTTCTACATTCTTAAAATTGTTGGTTAATAAATAGTAGACTTCGTTAGTCCTTCAAGGGTGTGATTGTGTGTGGCCTTTATACTATCAGTAGTAGAGGGTTACTTGATATTACTCACTAGCAGGATTGGGCCCAGGAGCACCTAGTTACTAATTACCAGGCCTATTCCATAAATCTCTTGATTAGGATACATTTGGAACAGCTGTAAGAAGGCTTTTTCCTTAGGCCACTGGTCCATTTAAAGAGACAGTATGGAGAAAACAAAAGCCCAACTTGTGTACGGTATTTGTGGATATGAAGCATTGGGGTACAATGTTGAATACTTTCTAGCAAAAACAGATACCTTATGTATTTAAGCTTATTGAACTGACAAGCTAAACCAAAACTGCAGATGGTTAACTCTTAGGGAAAAAAATCTGCATTGATTATATTATAGTGATTTGCAGGATTGATCCACAGCACCCCAGTCTGGTTGATAACGCTGATTAATGATTTGAAGTGAATTTAGGAAAAGTGCTTAAACGAGATTGTTGTTTCTTAAAATTAGACGTTGAATAGAGTCTTAACATAGTTGTGTTTTTTGCATAGAAAGCTGTGACATGGCTATTTTTTGAAGAACTGAATTTTCAAATACTGTAATTTGTAGTATTAATGGCTAATATGCTTATTATATATTAGATACAGTATATTTAATTTCAGATTATAGGTTTGACCTGTTTTTTTATCTGTAATAATTTTATCTGTAAGTTTCAGATGCTAATTATAGCAATAAAATGTCTTTGTATTCTGTAATCTATTGTTCTATTGTATAGGTCTTTGAAATTAAAGTATGAAGCCTGGGCTTTTGATATTGTTCTAATAATGCAATTAATTTTTAATTTTTCTCTCTTCCATTTAGATCCAGATGAAGATCTATCAGGTACAATATCACTTGTTATGACCCAATGTTGTAAACGAATAAAGGACACAGTTCAGAAATTGGCTTCGGACCATAAGGATATCCACAGTAGTGTTTCTCGTGTTGGGAAAGCAATTGACAAGGTATTAATAGTATTTTAAGCTTCAATTTCAATTCAGTTTAATTTATTGCAGCCCTACACCAGTACAGATAATAAAATAAAATTTAAGACAGAATTAATATATTTTTAAAACAACCTAATATCTATAAGTGAGATCCAGAATATAGCCTATATAAAATTATATGAATACTAAAATTATATTAAATATAACATGTAAAATTACAACAAATAAAAGTATATCCACAAGTAATATCTAAAGTTTAAATGAATTATAGTTACAAAAATGCATTTCAAGATACTGCTCCATCAGGGTTCAACAGATCTTTTCTGCTGGAGTATTTCGTCTATGAGCAGCATCTGGGTGTAGGCCAAATCTGGGCTATCAGAACATGTACTAATCAAAGGTAGTATGAATCTGGTTCAGATGTCTCCATAGAAGAAGCAGTGATGAAGAACATAGAATATTTGTAGCTCAGGATGAACTGAGAGGCCCTTGATGCTCCCTGAGCTTGATTATTTTCTTGCAGATGTTTCATTATCCGATGAAGTGACATCAGTGCTAGAGGGAGTGGGGTTTGTTCTCTGTTTATATCAAAGTGGCTTGCCTGTTAGTGTTGGTGGGGATGTTCTTGGTGGTTCCCGGGATAGATTTTGTTCATTGTTGATGGTCTTTATTTGGTAGTTCCTTCATTGCTTGATTGTTGGTTTAGTATTAATCTTGAGGTTAATTTCTACTTATCTTGGTGTTGGCTATTGGCAATAAGGTGTTTTGGTCTTTTAGCTTTTTGATTGTCCCTTTTGAATGGTATGTAGATGTTGTTTATCTCTATATGCCTATTGATGGCTGATTGGTCTGAATGCCAAGCTTCTAGGGATCCTCTAATATTTTTGAACGTAGCTTGATCTTGGATGCTCAGTTTCCCAATTGAAACTGTAGTGGAAGTCTGTCCATGTGTTGTGCAATTAAAGAGTTTTCATCATATTTTCTGACTGCTAGTTGGTGTTCATGGATGCTGGTCTTCCGCCTATTTGTCTTACATGGTGGCTGTTAACAGTCCTTACACTGTATGGTATAAAGGATTCCTGTTTTTTTTCTTTTGGTGCTACTGAGTCTTTTGGTTTACTTAAGATGTTTTGGATTACTTTAGTTGATTCGTGTGCAAGGTTGATGCCATGTAGTTGTAGTAGATTATTTCTGAAATGTTTTTGATGTATGGCAATATTATCTTTCCACAGTTTGCATTGGTTGTGCTGTAGTAGATTGAGTGGATAGATATTTTTTGATAAAATTATGTGAATATCCATTTCCCTTCCAATAATTTAATTTTTATATTTTAGGGTTTAGTTTAAACTAATAATATTAAAATTACCATGTCAGCCACAGTTCATATAACCTTTGCCCCTATTTGAATTCTTCAAATAGTTTAGTTTTTTTTATTTAGTACTGTCAAAATATAACAAAATTTAACTAATTTTAACTGCAAAATTGAAGAGGGGAGATTATGCACAATCTATTATGATTCATGCTCATTATGGTAATGATTATTTGGCTTAGTGTGATATTTGAACATGGATGCAGTAGCTGGGCTGGTGCTCTCCATATTGGTTTACCCTCACAATGGAATTGGCAACCCTAAACAAGATGCAACCACACTTACTAATACAGTAAATACAATAACTACACTAACTAATACAATAACTAACAATGTTTTGCCTCTCTTACTGCCATTGTTACTTTCTATGTTCATTCTGCTACTTTATCTCCCAGATTTCCTGAGTAAATCAAGGTCATCTTTGGGATCAGTCAACAGGGCTGTTTGGGAGTAATTTCATCAAGAGCCGAGCTTGCATTGCATTGCTCATGACCAATAAGGATTTATTTTGATGAATTTGCCTATTACAGTTTTAGGAAACTCCTCAAGTCATCTTTGAAATTATTGGATCCATAATGTGTTGGGGGCACACCAATTAAATAATATAATCTCATTTGTGATCTGTCTAAGTCAGAGGAGTGGTAGAAATTCATTCTATAACCAGCTCACAAGACAGATTCTATGAGATAAATAGCACTAATATTTTCTTACAAGGTTAAGTAAAAAAAGTACAAGGATCCAAAAAGCATTTTTATATAGTAGAGAAAATGGAAGGTATTTGGAAGCGAGTCCAGTCGTATCCCATGATGAAAACTAGTATCTCCTACTGCAGTTTTCATTTTCTTCTACAATGCCTTACATAAATTAAATGTGAATATAGGAGTTCTTCAACATTTTATTTATGGGGATGGGGAAAATGAGTTTGGAATTATCTGTCTATCTACAGTTTTAAAATATGGTTTGAATGCAGAAGATATGGTAGTTCAGTAATGGATTAAATAGTTTGAAAGTGTTGATATTGGCATCTGAATAAAATCAGAAAAAATTGTTTCTTCTAGACTTAATTATCCTTTTTTACTTCACAGAATTTTGACTCTGACATTAGTAGTGTTGGAATAGATGGATGTTGGCAGGCGGATAGTCAGCGGATTCTGAACGAAGTTATGGTTGAACACTTTTTCCGGCAAGGAATGTTAGACGTAGCTGAGGAGCTTTGTCAGGTAATTGTAGCCAGAATGTGGAGGCAAAATAATTTATTTATCTAATAATCATAGAAAACATTAATGTGAAAAATATCCTGTTAATTAATAGATATGGGCTATAACGTGTTTTTTTTCAGGAGTCTGGACTTTCTATAGACCAAAGTCAAAAGCAACCATTTGTGGAGCTGAACCGAATATTGGAAGCACTTAAAGTTAGAGTTTTGAGACCTGCATTGGAGTGAGTTATTCAGCTGTTTGGAAAATTTTTAGATAAAATCTAAGAGATATTGAAATCTTTTCCTTTAATAAATTTGTGAATGTTGGGATTTAGAGCTAAATAAATGTGTTGAAAATCTCATCTATCCTGCCTTAGCTGAAAGTCATAGCTTGGATAATTCTAATAAGTAGCAGCAGTTGTCTTTATTCAATAGAAAATGGTATTTTCTGAGTAAGTAATCAGTACTGCCAAATAGTACAGTACACTCATGCAATATTAAGCTGAGACCTGCAACTGAGAACTGACTAACTAAAGATAAAATAACAGAATGCCCTTCAAGGTTATGCTCTTTTGGTATTCCCAGTGCCATATATGGTTTCTATATTTGCCCATTGTCTTTGCTTGGTGGAAGCCAGTGGAAAATCATGAGGAGATCCTCGCATAATAACCCACGATCCGTGCTTAACAACAGCAACAGGGAGTGTCAGGATTGCCAGGTTACTGAGCAAGCAATTCCGTGATATATTTTTCATTGCTTAGCAATGAAAGTTCTGGTCTCAATTACCATCATTAGCCAAGGACTACCTGTATAAATGAAAGTCTCTAGAAAGTTATTAAGATAGTTACATCTGCTCTTAAATTTCTAAAAATGTTGGTCCTTATGGAAGCCTGATACTAAGCCACAATTTATTGCAAATTATTAGTTTTCACCTTGTTCCCTAAGTTATCAATTGTGCCATTCCAAATTACTTTTTGTATAGTTGGGTACAATAAGTAGACATATATATAGAAAGAATAGACAAGAGACAAGTGTTTTTGTCTTTTTTCCCCCAAATTTTTCTCTGTGTTAGCAATATACGTAGTCCTTGACTTACGACCACAATTGAACCCAACATTTCTGTTGTTAAGTGAGACATTTGTTAAGTGAATTTTCCACCATTTTATAACCTTTCACACCTCAGTTGTTAAGTGAATCTGGCTTCCCTATTGACTATGTTTGTCAGAAGGTCATAAAAGATGATCACATGATCTCGGGATGCAACAGTGATCATAAATATGAACCCGTTGCCAAGCATCTGAATGTTGATCATATAATCGTGATGCTAGAAAGGACGTAACTGTGAAAAATGGTCATAATTCACTTTTTTCAGTGCCATTATATTTTTGAACAGTCACTAAATGAACTGTTGTAAGTTGAGGACTACTTGTAAATGCCTTTATTTAACAAATAACTATTTTCTAAGAAAACATTCTGACATTCTTTATGATGTAGTAGTTATTTAGCATTTCCCTATAACTGCCATTTCATGTGCCTGAGAGAGTCAAGAAAATCACACATGAGCAAATGTGTAGGAAAACATGAAAGGTATTTAGCTTCCTTCTCTCTTTCTTTGATATTATTAGAAAAACATTTGGAGCCCTTGTAGGTAGTATTCCTACAGTGTTCTGTGCTATTGTCAGTTTTTCCAACTCCAGCTCATTTCTAACTTTAAGAATTCCAAGGATTTCTTAACTCTTCTGCTCTGGAATGGCAAGAATCATGCAACTATTGTTTAGAAATTAATAATTGGTATGGGCAGAGGAATTCATGTTCCTCTCAGCCTTGAAGAAAGAGTTGCACTAGTTATTCTGCTTCTGAATTACCAGTACAATTCTTCCATAGAGACAAGATGAATCAATTCCCTGATCTTCAAACTTCTTTTTAATATAATCTCCAGACTTTCCCAGAGAGAGGTTTCAATATGTGTGGAAAAGAAACTTTTGTTTTGATATCCTCAGGACTCCTGTTGGAAAATATCCAGTAGAACTTCAGCACCCTCCATTTAACCTGAACTGATCCTTGTTTTAATTACAGTTTTGAAATAATAAGCAAGGTTGTAGTGAAATTAGGACAACAGAGATGAATAGAAATTAAGGTCTCTGAATATGATTTCCATTCCAAATCTGTATTGGAACGAGTCCTGCAGGACTCCTGCATTTAAGCATTGTTCCAAATAACAGGGTGTTTTATGGAAGTCTGCTGTAGAAGCTTAATGTTTACTTATTATACATTATCTGTACAAGATACTAATAGTTATTGCATAGTATTAATGTGAAAAAGTTATTTTAACAGCCTTGTAGATAAAACAGCTATTTGTTCAGAAAATATTTGTCAACGTCTTTGCTCGTGTGGAGGTCATCTTAGCACATTATGACCCAGTGAGGAAAATGTCAGCTTCATGCTGTTAATAAAATATCTCTTTTCTAGTTTCCTAGAGGCCATTCATATTTGGCAGAGGACTGTAAGTAAGTAGTTATTAACAAAACAGACATTTCTCTGAAACTCTGACCTGGCTCAAACTGGATGGCAGCATCAAGAACTGTTACATCACAGTTTCAGTGAAGTCCTTTTTGAATTGCAAGTTGCATTGCAAAATATTGGACATTAATTTTGAAATTTCATGTTATAGTCTAAATCCAAGATACCTACATTTGTAGAGAGCAATATTATTCTACTGGTTGGCTTGCTGGAGGTATACTGGTGATATAAGAAACATAGTAAATAATAATATTTTAGTTTTTAGTGACCTTAGGCAAATGTCAAATGGGTAAACCATTATCTTAATTACTAATTTTCCTGTTTTTCTTTTCTTAAAATTAATTATCCCATTATTTCTTAGGTGGGCTGTTTCAAACAGAGAAATGCTTATGACACAGAATAGTTCCTTAGAGTTTAAGCTGCATAGATTATATTTTATTAGTTTATTAATGGGTGGAACTGCAAATCAGAGAGAAGCACTGCAGTATGCAAAAAATTTTCAACCTTTTGCTCTCAATCATCAGAAAGGTAAGCAATATGAAATACTATATGCTAGATACCACACAACATTTCAAGTTAAAAGCTGTATATATTGCGTTCTCTACAGATATTTTATTGCCCTAAATAGTTTTGTTGCCTGTTTACAGTTTTTTAATTTATTAAGTGTATTGAAAAATATTAGTGGATTTTATCAGAGCACATCTAATTATGAAAACTTTTTTTAGTATGCTTTCTCTCAAGGATATTTTTTTGGTCTATGAATCTGAGAGCTGGTTTAGTCAATCGGTGGAAATTTTACTGGCCCATTCATTTTCTTTTTGGAAGAAATCTTTTCTCACTATCAAATTATAATACTATTTTTTCATTCCTATCCATTCTTGAAAATATTTTGTTTTTCAGCAAAACGGAGGGCTGCTCTTGATGAAACAAATGCAAAACCACATTTGTGCATCACTTAGATTCATTTAAAAATTAAACAACTGTTCATATATATCACTAAATAGAACTACCAGTTTTTAAAGTGATTGTTTTTTTATGTAACTAAATATTTCTGTGGCCAGCATTTTTGAATAACCCTGTCTTTGAGAAATTTTGTTGCATTTATTCACTTTCAGATTGTGCATCCAAACATCAGTCTGAAAAATAATGGTGTTAAAAAAACATTCTTGAAATGTTCTCATTGTCTGCCCAATGTCTGGTACAGGTATAAGAGAAAACAGAGTCCAATAACATTTTATTTGGGCTAGCTAGAGAGTTCTAAAGGTACAAATCTTGATTATAATTATAGGCATAATTAAGCTACATAAAAGCACACTTCTGTTTTTCTTTCTAGAGTGCCATATAGGGGAGATTAAAAAAACAACATAAGAATTTTGAGTGCAAAATGAAAAAGAATACATCTCCAAAAATTATCAATCATTGAAAAAGTCAAATAATGAGATATTGTTAGTGAATTGTCAAGTTTACGTGTTCAATATATATTAGTTTTTAGAATAAAGAAATATAATAATATATGTCCATTATAACATAATTAAATTACATTTTTTTACCTTTTGCAGATATTCAAATTTTGATGGGAAGTCTAGTATACCTGAGGCAAGGAATTGAAAATTCTCCATATGTCCATTTACTAGATGCAAATCAGTGGGCAGATATCTGTGATATTTTTACAAGGGATGCTTGTGCATTATTGGGACTCTCAATTGAATCACCTCTTAGTGTTAGGTATGGCTTCTTTCACGTTACATGCATTTTCAAGTTGAATTATTTACCTATTTCCCTTTTTAACAAAATTCTATAAAACCCAATTCCAAATTTATTACAAAAAATAAAATCCAACTCTCTAGTTAAAACTACGAATTAGCATAAACAGTATTAAAATCTTAAAATCCTGACTAAAAAAATATTTATTTTGAACCCTTTCTAAATTGAATAAAAGGTAGGATTAGCCTTATCTTCAAGTACAGATAATTCCATATCAGAATTAAAGCTTATAGACAATTGTAGTTTTGATAGAATCTGAAAAATATCACATGCTATGTGGATGCTGTGACAATCTTTCAAAGTTTACTTAATTCTAATTAACTTCACCATTTCAAACAATATAGAACAGTGGTTCTCAACCTTTCTAATGCTGTGACCCCATAATACAGTTCCCCATGTTGTGGTGACCCCCAACCACTTATACATCACTGGGTGCCAGGGGCGTGGCCAAAGAAAAGGGAAAAATGGCGGACAGCCTTGTTTGGCGACCCCCGTGAAATGGTCGTTCAAACCCAAATGGGGTCCCGACCCACAGGTTGAGAACCATTGATATAGAATATGTGGCTTTCTAAGAGTTAATTGCTGGGTTAACAAAAATTGTGAAATAAGTTGATATATGTATTTTTTAAAATCAATCTTAGTCAAGTGGTTGCTTTTCTGCCTGATCTGCTTCAGAGAACTGTTTATGGTTTGAAATAGTTGCAAACTGTTTGTGGAACTCCCTGGAAAAGACTACCTTTTGCTTGGATTTGTGAGATTTCATAAACAGGCTGCATTTTGTGAAACTGAAAGAGTTGAAGAGTTGGGTAATGTTGCCATCAAGTGTTGTTTTGATACCTTCCTGTCCCATCCTAGAGAAGAGTAGTATGGTGTGCTTTAAGCAAATTTGTTAAGAGAAAGTTGTGACTATGTATTAGGCTGTATTCTAAGTTATCCTTTGCTATATTATTTTTAGTTTTGACTTAATTCTGGCCAATCATGAAAATGAAGTTGTATAGTATTTAGACCAGCAATGTATACATTTTCAAAGCTATTTCCATAAGATGCATTCTGCTTTTAAAGTAAAATTGATTTTGACTATATTTGAATAAATTATTGTTCCACAATGGTAACTTTGTACACAAAAGATAGCATAATGAATGCATGATGTTATTTTCATTCTATTTTAAATGAATATCTATAACCTTTGTTCTAGTAAGGGTCTTACATTATTTGGCAACACTGATAACATTCTTAATATAATTTAGAATATATTATTATATTTACTCAAAAAGAAGGTTATTGTGAATATAGGATTACTCTCACCAAAAAAAAAAAAGTAGATAAATTAGTACAGACAACTGTGTACTGCTAAAGGATTCTATTCTATTGTTATTGTCAGGCTTGCCAAATCCACATGAAAGTAAACCTGAAGATTATCTTCCCCCAAGCAATAAATACATGCATATCATATATTTCTTTTAATACTTATCAGTGATCACACCCCTGAAGCAGGGAAGGGGTCAGATAGTAATGATAATAAAACAACAACAATAATATAATTAAAATTACTTGCCTATAAACTAAGATACACCAGTTATAAAATGCATTGAACCACAACCATTTCATATCAACAATTGCCTCTCACACAGACTGTTTTTTCTCATTGTACTCACAAATACGGTACATAAGCATAGATTCCCTTCCCTCCTTTTATAGAAATAAAAAAACAAAAGTTTGGAAAAGAGATAAGAGGAAAGAATAGTTGCCCTAATAGGAGAAGAAGGAAAAGGAGGGGAGGCAAACTGAATGGAACTGAGGTAAAAGAAAGAAGTACCTGTACAGAAAAGAAAGAAAAATAAAAAAAATGCATGTTATAAAATAATTACATTCATCCTGCCAATCACTCCTTTCAAGCAACTGCTGATCCTCAACTCATTCTCAAACTCATTCAGACTCCTTAACACTAAGGTCTGCATAATTTATTCTTCCATTCATTGTGCCAGCATCTTTCTCATCAAATGTAAGATAATCCCCCTACCCCACATCCAATTCATGGCTAATGGGAGGGGGGAGAGAATCTTTCTTTTGGGTAAACACAATGCTTAGTAAATGTGCTATTGCGAGGAAAGTTTCATAATATTAAACTTTAAGGTGATATTTTGCTTTCTTCAGCTTTTCAGCAGGTTGCGTAGCATTGCCAGCTCTAATTAATATAAAAGCTGTGATAGAACAAAGACAGTGCACTGGTGTTTGGAATCAGAAAGATGAATTACCAGTGAGTAATTTTTTTGTATCCCAATAGGTAATTTCTTAACTGGAATAGGAATTATTTCCATAATGTAAATATTTGGATTAGAGTTTTGCACAAATCACATTGTAACTTGAATTTTATTTCTCTTAAGAATGTCCCCATATCGGAATACTTTAGCAAAATATACTTTAGAATAATGAATATTTCATTTTTTATTATGTAATGCGATCAATTTAATTTACAGGCAAGCAACATCTGTATTTGTTTGATGATAGCAATAAGTGGTTCTAGCATACTGGTACAATTATTTTTTTGAGAAAACACACATGGGAGAAGATCGCAGATCGTAGTCATTTAACAGGAGGATCCATATTGCTGGAACACCTTGTTCAAAAGGCATCTTAATTAGTCATATTTATTTGTAAATTACTTATTTAAAAATTTCAGTGATTAAGAATTAAATGTTTTATAGCCCACAAATTATGTTTGATACTTATTTTATGGATATTAAATAAAGGAATCCAGGTAAACCAAGTAGGCATGCAGTTGCTTCAACTGCTAAATTATAGTATATAATTTATATTAATCTCGGAAAAGAAAATCAATATAGTCATTGCCTTTTCAAGCAGTCACAACATTACTTGGAAAATGCCATTTCGTAGCAAGGAGAAAACAAGGGATGCTATCCATGTCCATCATCATGAGGCTTTTAACTTTCCTATGAATTGCCTGCAAAACCTATGGGAAGTGGAAAGCAGTTGAAGCATTTCCAATCAATTATGATCCTTTTCAATCAATTATACTTTCCAATCAATATGTCTGGAGTGATATGATATAAATCATTGAACTGAAACAGTTAATGACTGCATCTTTGTTTTGTAAAGATTGAAGTGGACCTTGGCAAAAAGTGCTGGTATCATTCAATATTTGCTTGCCCCATCCTTCGTCAACAAACAACAGATAATAACCCACCCATGAAGCTGGTTTGTGGTCATATTATATCAAGAGATGCTCTGAATAAAATGTTTAATGGCAGCAAGTAAGTCAAAATTTAATTCACAGAGAAAATTGAATTAGTTTTTAACATATAATTGGAAATGAGCGTGAATTATAATAACAAATATTGGCAAAAGACAAAAAGTAAGAGATCTTTTAAAACCATCTATTACAGCAGCATGTCCATAAATTGAGTTGCTATTTGATTTTATAGGAACATGCCTAGTGTTCTGTAAACATCTGATATTTTAAATCAATTTTCCCCAAACTGGTTTCCTCCTTTGTATTAATTATAGCATCTGATACGCTATAGCTAACATTTCAACATCTGAAAGATTTCTAGTTGGAAATATGTTCCAAGTAAAATAAAATAGAGTACAAAGTATTCAAGTGAATTATGATTTCTGTCTTTAGATGTAGGGAGATTGTTTGACACAGAATAACCTTGGCTTCTAACCAGAAGTGGAATTGCTTGTAGCACATTCTCAGAGTGCAAAGAAGCAGTAAATTAAGTAATTTTCTTTTACTTCTTGGAGGGATTCATTCATCTAGATACTCTTTACTAAATAGTTGGCTTGATAATATGGATAGAATAGCAATAGTGCTAAATGAAGAAAGAAATTGACTCCTTTTTCTTTTTTAGTCTTTTTATCTTCTTTTATGTTGTAGTGCAGAAAAGGTAGCTGAAGTGTTCATTTTTTTAAAGTTGAGATTTTTGAAAAAGTATATTCCCCTTTAAGGAATTGGATCATATGCCCATTGAGCCTAGTATGATCTATATTGACTGATAAATCTGGAATGGTTTAGGATAGATACATACTATAATATAACAGTGGACATGATGTTTTAAGCTCTAAGGCAACCCAATATAAAAATTTCACCTCCACATCTTTCTTTCACATCATGGGTTAAATGCCTTTCTCATTACTGCAGCAGGAAATGAAAACAAAAGCATTTTTAATTACTTTGATAATTTCTAGTGCATAATTGTTTTCTCAGAGGACTTGAGAGTGACTTAGTCTTTCATCATTTATAATAGTAGGGACTAGTAGTATCATGAAACTGATTTAAAGGGAAAATAACTCTTCCCTCCCAAAAAATTAGGAGCCAAAAGTTTAAAAGTCTTTTAGAATGTGATAAAAGTGATATTTAGTATTTAAAATGGTCCAGAAAATGTATTTAATGAAACTGTTGTACCAATAGGTCTTACATGATCCTGACAGTTGATTCAAATCAAGATTTTAGTGCTGCTTTTGGCCAGAAGATGTCTCTATATACTTATCAAAGTCTCACTTTCTCATTTTTACAGCAATCCTAAATTCATCATCCTACCTCATTATTGATTTGGGTAGAAGGTTTTACATCTACTTAAGAGATCTATTTAAAATCTCTTAAATAGACATGGTAGGAGTTGTATTTGGTGGGTTTTTTTTCTTTCTCAATTTTAACCTTGATTTTTATTGTAAATCTTGGTCTCTAATTCTTTGACTTTTTTGTTTCAGTATTTTTGAATCACAAATCAAATGTTGAAGTGAGATAGGAAATGTCAAGTATTAGTTATTTAAATATATTATCTTCAAATGTGGCTATTTACATGGCATTTTGTGGCTAACTTTAATATTTTCTTTATTCTTAGATTAAAATGTCCTTATTGTCCTATGGAGCAGAGCCCTGGGGATGCCAAACAGATATTCTTCTAAGGACACAAATTATTATATGTGTGTGATCTGGAACACTAAAACAGGCAAATGTTCCATTTTATGCTGTACATACGAAGGAGAATTTTTGTGTTTTATATAAGTCCGATGCTCCAGAAATTTTTGCCAACATTTATTGCAGATGTACAGTTTGGAAAAGCTCCAGATGTAATTTCTGTTATAGGGCTTTTACTGTAAGCTTGGTCATGATATCTGATCAAGATACTACACCAGCAGTCATTCAATGCAGATTTTTTTGTACTTAATTCAATGGTGACTTTGCTTTATAAAGTAGATACCAGTCACCATATAATTCTCATATTTGTCCTGCTGTTATCATTCTGATTATTGTCACCATAAAGAATGTGAAGGAACTTTTTTTTCATTAGCATGTAAATAATTAAGAGAGGATTTCAGGAAAAAAGTTTAAAAATTGAATAGCGGATACATTTGTATTTCTCTTATTATTTTTCCAAGTCAGAACTCTGACATATTCAGAGGTTTTTTTTTCTCCTGTTGGAATATTTTTCCCAGCTTTTAAATTCCACCTGAATTCAACTTAAATGTGCTTATATATAAATTGCACAATATTTACATAAATATAACAGATTTACAGTCATTTCTGATTTAGAAAAATAGCAAATGAATAAGGTTTCCTACACTTATGAATTCATTTCAGTTGTTTTCATAAGCAAGAGTTCTTTGGGTAGCTGAGAGTATTCAATACTGCAGAGCTCTAGAGTGGAAAGTTTTTCCAGCTAATACTTGTTCTTCAGGTTTTTTTAGTTATACTGTAATTTAAGGTTTGATTTCAAGATCAATGTCTTGTTGGTGTACAGTTTACTGGACATGATTGTTACATTATTTATGAAGTTATCAGAACCAAATGCACTGTTACTAATGTTCATTGTTAAAAAGGGGAATAGAAAGTGTTTCACTAGTCTTTTCATCCCAGGATTGGATGAAATATGTCCTCTGTTGTTAAGAGCGTTGTGCCAGTGACCATGTTCCCTTTAATATCATGATAATATCATTTTATTCTTAAATTTATTATACTGGTGACAGAGACTTTAAGCTGGATTTGATCACCATTCTCCCTACCTGGAGAATCTTGAGTATCATAGTCAGGAAGAAGAAACATTAGTAGATTCTAATATCCAAAGTCTTGCCAATTTGCAATGGACTGGATTCTCTGGGAAAAGCTAGGATAGCTAAAGGATTATGCATTTGTACTATAAATAATATCCAAAGTGAATATATACTTATAAATTTGATGCGTGTTATAGCAAATGTCATGTGTGCATTCAATGCACTGTCTTACAATAAAGCAAAGGAGCTACTTGATATTTATTGCTGCCAAGACTCCATCTTTCTATGGCTGGATACTAAAATAATTAAATATACTGGCTCAGTGCATTACACAGAAAAATGTTCATAAAGGTTTTAGATGCTCTGATAATTGGTCATAGTCCCTAAGAATATACCAATGCAACCTGACACTATTGTTCAAATAGAAAAAAAGAAGTAAAACTGTACACTGTATACTCTGAGTTACTTCTATAACGTGCTTCTATAGAAATTTAATAAAGATAATGAGAAACAAGTAAAAGTGTTTTCTGTTCAGGTTCAAATCTCAGTGAAGTTGCTTTTATTGTAATAAGAGAACTGCACATATGTGAGTCAAATATATTCTCAGTGACGTAAGAAAATGTAAATGTAGCAGTATAATACACAACTGTATTCAAGGGGAACATTTATAATGTAAGGATATTTGCAGACATATAAATAATTTCATGTACATGGGCGATCAATCTCAATGAGTATTGGGGTTTTGTAAATGTTTGGCAAAAAATTCTGTTTTCTTTTTTAATCCAATAAACTATCTTATACTTAAGGATTGATATTTTCATACCAAAATATAAGGATTGATATTATTTTAATGGACTCCAAAATGAAAGTGGAGTCTATCCTTCCTCAGATCACTGGGGAATGTATTAGTTCCTAGCCATTTCATTCTGGGAGGGATGGCTGCATTGTTTTTAAATCCAGAGATTGGAGTTATACTCTACCAGTTGTGCGATGGAGTGGCAGGGTAAATATGAACTATGATGTTCTACACGTTTTAGAATTCATGGATATGTATGAATTATTTTTGAGCCTTTTCATTAATCTTATGGTTTAGAAATGCTTTGGTTTTATTTTTCTTGAAAACAGTTCACTATAAACAGATATAGTTTATTTTAGCAAACATTTCCCAATTACTTTGATCCAAACTACAGCCCATCTTGCCTTTGAGACCTTCATTGATATGACTGAGATGTGAGAAAACCAGTGTATAGAGATAGATTCTTTGGGGAGTGACAATAAAAATAATGCATATAAACATGTTTCATGGTTATAATATGTTTGTGAGTTGTGTGCTAGCTCAGTATTTCTCAATCTCAGCAATTTGTGTGGACTTCAACTTCTACAATTTTGTAGCTAGTATGTTGGTTGGGAATTGTAGTAATTGATATTGAAAAGTTGTTGATATTGAAAAACACTGTGCTAGATTATCATACTGCAAATACATTTATTCTCTTTCAGTACACTTGAGCTGAGGCTCAGTTTTGATAGCTTCCTGCTGGTAGGGCATGGTCAATAGGTAGAACTCTACTGGGCTTATTATGCTGACAAATAATGTATTATGTTACATGGTTACTGTAATGAGAACAAAATGTTTGCTAAATATATTTTCCTTGATTTTATTGCCTCAATAAAATTTCTATGAAAACAACAATAGATGCTTGGAACTGATAGCATCTGACGTGAAAGTTATTACAGTCCTTATATTTTAGATATCAAACAATTTCATGTGAACTATTGAAGTTGGTTAGCAAAATGAGCTTTCTATATGAAAATTGTTTTGATACATTGCTTCCATGTGTGTGTCTGCTTTTCATTTCTGGCTTGTTCTTTCAGGTAATTGAGTATACAAATATCAGATTTTTGTTTTTTTTATTCGATATTACTTCTTTTCATAAGTTCCTTCCACAGTATTTAGTTTGAAATTACTTTGCTATTTTCCTTTCTTCAAGAATATTATCTAAACCAGTGTTTTTCAACCTTGCCAACTTTAAGATGTCCACTCATCTTAAACTTGCCAAGATTGAGGAACATTGATTTAAACTATATTCTCATCCAGGAATGTATATCCTGTAGTTTCCTTGTGCTTCTGGGGTTTTATTTATTTGTTTTGGTGTGTTTTTTTTTTTAGTAGATTACAAGAAATTTATTTGTTGGAGTAATCAGGGTGGCAGTGGCAACATGAGCTCTTATCAATCAGGCAAATGAATCTGTAAGAGCTCAATGCACATTCTGTAAACTCTTGCATAATATTTTATCCCATTGTTTTTTAATCAATACTACTGTTACTTTTTGATTCTACTGTTCATGGAATGGTATAGTTTTCTAATATCATTAAAATACGCTTTTATAACACCAACATTTCATAATGTTAATTTAAAAATCGCATTTAACATGTTTTAAAAACTTTTACTAATGAACAGGTTTTTCTGTTGATTTCCAAAATAATTTTCATTATCACATGTAGGAATAAACGTTCAACTACTATTTTAAAAGCTTCTTTTATATATAGACTTATTTGCACAAATAGCCGCAATGTTATGTTTCACCTCCAGTTACTTGCAACATTTCTTGCATACAAGAAAATATGGAATGGTATAGTTTTATAATATCATTAAAATATGCTTTTATAACACCAGCATTTCATAATGTTAATTTAAAAATTGCATTTAACATGTTTTAAAAACTTTCACTAATGAACACGTTTTTCTGTTGATTTCCAAAATAATTTTCATTATCACATGTAGGAATAAACGTTCAACTACTATTTTAAAAGTTTCTTTTATATATAGACCTATTTGCACAAATAGCCACAATGTTATGTTTCGCCTCCAGTTACTTGCAACATTTCTTGCATACAAGAAAATAATGTTTTGTAGTACCGTGGAGGAAAAATGGACGCCATTTCTAAAAGGTGGAAGAGACAGTCATTTTGATGGAGACCATCAAATCTTCCTTTCTATGATTTGGAACTTCATGTTATTCTAAAGAAATGATAGTTTCAAAACTTTCCACATACAGGATTGGCAATACCAACCATAACAACAAAGAAGAATAAAAAAAAGTAAAAAGATGAGTAGCCTCTGATTTTTGCCATTTCTAAGAAATTTTCCCCTCACATATTTGTTACCTGGTGACAAATAAGATAATTGCTCTCAGTCTCTATTGATTTCCTGGCTTTATAAATGACCACATAATTCAGCTATATTTGTTTCTTCCTTGCTTCCAGTTTAAGTAACTAAATGTTTATTATCAAATTAATTAGGATATGTTTTCTGTTTGTATAAGTTGATTATAAATCTTTATTGATGATTCTTAAAACACGATTTGCTGTTATAGTTTACCAGCTTGAAATAGTATGGCTCAACCTCAATGACCAAGGGAGTGATTTTGGTGGGAATAGGAGCTCCTGGGTAGGATCATTCTTTTTATCTTTTATATTTTATACAACAGGTAATCAGGCATTCTGACCATAAAAGTGGCATGAATTAAACTGAGTTATGTTGTGATGATATATGTTTGATTGATAATTATGAATGTTCTCTACTAAAATATATTAATACAGTAAATAGCTTGATAAATTATCAAATTACTGAATTAATTGAAATAAGTATGTAGCCTTTAATGTATCTAGAGAAATCTATTATATAAGTGGGGCTTTAGTTAGCATTTGTGGAAGAAAGATGGTGATGAGGAAACACCTCCCATAAGGAGCTCTCTTAAGAAGGCTGCTTCTGTTGTCCTTTATCCCCTTATACTTTTCTATTTCCTGTTATGTTTTATTCTATCTTACTACTTTTATTCTGCTCCTATATACTATATTTTTTTATCTTAAAAACTACTTGCTTCAACCTTCTGATACACAGAGCAATCATATCAGAGAAGAGGAATGGTGTCATCACTGGAAGGAGGAAGAAAAGACAGTCCTCTCATTCTGCAACATAGGCTTCATTCAAACCCCTGGAGCAGTTGAAAGTTGGTAGATATATTGCAACCAAGCAGATTTGATCTGTGTGTAATATAAGCCCTTAGAATGGGATTTCTAGCAAGAAATCAAAAACCAATAACTTATCTATCTGTCACCATCTCTATAAGAGGACATCCCCTCCCCACAGATTGCTGCTATCTGCTCAGCAGCAACAGTAGCAGGGTTTAAAGTGAACCTGAGATTCTAGATCTAAAATATTTTAAAAATTGCAATGTAGTAGACTTCGTAGGCAGACATAATAAAGGAAGAAAGTAGGATTCAACTTCTATCAACTGTTCCAACGTGGTCAGTTAGAAAAGAAAGACTTTTAGCCCCAGGGCTAGCCAAAGGTATACTTTACTAAAGCCAAGAGGTTATAGAAGAAGTGAAGTTGGATCTGAGATTTTCCTGCCCAAAGTATATGGTTAACTTTGCCATGTTTCCTTCCAACCCCTGGTTATCAAGAAAGGTCTAATTAAGTGCTAAGAAATTGTCCTTGTCTTCATAGCTGGCATTCCTTTCTTGATCTTGAAGCGGCCGGTGTTTCTCATGGGATGGTGCGAGACTTGGTTTTGTTACCTCACGGTATCCCTTGGCAATCCTTTCTCATTCCACTTCACTTTCCTCCCCCTCCTTTCTATGGCAGGCTGCCAGTGGCAAGCAAGTTGCAGTGTAGCTTAATGGCAGCCCTGATAACTTCTTTAAAACTGGATTGAAACTTTTCTTCAGAAATCTGGTCGTAATTTTCTAAATTGCCCGTTTCTCCCTACCATGCATTTAACTCTTAATTCCATATAACAAAGTGTATAGTGGTACTCTTTTAGGCATAACCATTTTTCCTTTTAATATTCATTACTTAAAATGGACTAAATGTCACCTTTCCATCAGCATACAGTATATGCATCTTAAAATTCATTTCCCCCTCTTTAGCAATCATTCTCCCAAATATACATATTTAATTGCTTACTTGTTTTTTCCCATTTATACATAATTGGCACTTGTTCATTCATTGTCTCTGTAAAACACAATTACTTAGATTTTGACACAATCACGTTAAGATCCACACTCCTTATTGCATAATACAGCTAGTCCTCGAGTTGCAACCATAATAGAGCTCGCAATTACAGTCATAAGTCATAACAGTTGTAAAATGAGTTGTTCATGTGACCAACACAATTGTATAACATTTTTTGCAGTAAGTGAATGACTGCAGTTAAGTGAACACTGGAGTCACTAAGCAAATCCGTTGTTCACTATGGTGTCGTTTAGCTGAAAACTAAAAGTACTGATTTTTGGCAAAACTATAGTAAAATGTGGTCATTTGACTCTGGGATGCAACAAATGGCAGTAAAAGGGCTTTGTTTCTGAGTACCTGAGTAATCATGTGACTGGGGGAGGGGAAGCGACCTTTGGACTTTAGGATCCAGGTTATAAGTCCCATTTTTCAGGTAAGTCATTAAATGACCGAGTGTAAATTGAGAACTACTTGTACAAGTATCCATAAATATATAACTAGTCACGCTGTCTTTGTCTTGTCCCTGCCCAGTGCTAAGCATTCCATTTATTCCCATGCATTCATTCATCAACATATTTTCTCTTCCGTATCCACAGAAAAAACCTGTAATAATTAAGATCTAATCAGTTTATTATGCTCTATGTCTAAATCAGTAATCTGAAATTATTATAAAGACCACCTGAGAGCTCAACAGTGAAGCATGTTTATACATGGCCACAAAAGTCTCTAGCAAGTAAAGAATTAAGGAAACAATGCATATAATAATATGCCATTAAATATAAATTTACTAAAATTTAAAATAACTTTACTAGGAGGCACAACTACTTTTTCACCAATTCACTTTGGCTACTTAGTTGGCACTGATTCTCATCAACCAGAAGTTTAATATTTGATTTTATATCCTGAGAGAAAACTAGCACTGAGGATGTTACCTAGTTTGGATAATGAAATGCCTGCAAGAAAACAACTAAGTTTAGAGAGCATCAAGAACCCTTCTTTTCAACCCTGAGCTTCAAATGTTCTCTTTTATTGGGAGAAAACTGCTCTCTATGCTACTTGGAAACCTTCATCAGTCAATGTTGATTTCAATAAAAACTTGTGAATTTTCTCAGATGAGAAAAAACCTTGACATGTATATGTCCAATATATATTTCAAGGTATTGGTTTTTACCTTTAAAGCCCTACATGGTATGGGGCCAGGCTACCTATATGGAATGGGATCATTTTCACCCCCATCCCATCTGGGCAGGTATAGAAGATACGTTGTGGGCCCCATCAGGTAAGGAATTCCAACTGGTGGGGTCCAGAGGGAGAGCCTTCCCTTTAGAACATTCTTTCACCAGAGAAGAATAGTCAGGAGAATGGGCCTCCTTCCCCTGGCCTTTATGTCTCCCCTATCTCACTTGCAGCCATACAGCTGGTTACTGCATTGGGAGCCCACTATTAATTATCTTTTAACGTCTAATTTTAACTTTGCCTCCACTTCAATTTTTTATGTTCAGTTTTTATGATTTTAACATTTTATTTGAATACCACTAAGAGCCCCTCTGTGAGGGAGATAGGCAGTTCTTAGATTAATACATGAATAAAAATATGTGTCCACAAGTATTGCTAATATCATCATGGACATAGTGAATAATTTGCAAAATCTTTTGCAGGTAAGACAGAAACATGTAGAAAGCTTGACTTCCAACATCACGTATTTCTGCTCCAGAATTGCCTCACAGCAGAGCTTCGTGAACTCCATTTCTATATCTTCTGTAGTAGTGTCATTTTCCACAGTGAAAAAAGAAAAGCTGGAACTGACTCAAACAAAAAAATCAAAGTGTTTCTGTGAACTCAAAATGATATTGACAAATTCTTTGAAACATTTGGGTTAAATGTTACTTACAGAATTGACAGTTGGGAAATATAATAAGTCAAACAACCAGGGCCAGCTGTTTCCTCCCACAAAGTAAGCTTCTGCTTTGAATGATTTAACACTGTTAGACATCTGTGTTATCTGTTTTCTTCACTGAAATTTCAATTCAAGTGAGCCCTTATATCTGTTCACAAAATGACAGTTAAATGTTGAATTATAGGCTGAAGAACCTCATTGTTTTCAATATTCATGAAATAAATAATATCCTTTCTTAATTTGTAAATGTTTATTACATAGCGGTCTTCATAAAAATGTAACACTTATCAATGACAGTGATATGTTACAGTGATAGTGTGAAGTTTTTTTCAGCATACCAAGCAAACAATGTTTACAGAACACAATGAAAATGTACTGTTTGCAGGCATAGATATGTTTCTTCCATATCAAAGATGTAGAATATCTCAACAGAATGCTATGCATGGTGAAGTACTTCAAACATCTGTAAAAGATAATTGTCTTTTGCTGTTGAAATCAGTTGTTTTTTTGCATTATCCGCTAAATTATAGCTGTCAAACTTTTGCCTTCAGAAATTTACCAGGAGATAAATCTCCGTTGGCCTTTATAAGACATTTTGTAAAAACTGATTTAACTATGATTTCATTTATCTCAGAAATTATTTTTAATGAATCTTCTCTAGATATGCTAGTATTTCAGGTGGCAGGGAGTGAAACCTGTATAGCAAATGCTGGTTTAAATCGTAGAACTTTTTCTGCATGTCATTTTCTAATTTAGGCTCATGATACATTGATGTTATGTACATCAGTGGTCTCCAACCTTTGCAACTTGGGGGGAGGAGAAGGAAACTGAGTCGCCTGAGTGGTGGCCTGGCATGTGCGCAGCTCCACTCATACAAGAGAAGGTTTTGGGATACGGTTTCACGCTCCTTCAGGCTTTTCTGCACCAAAAGTTTTTGCAAAGGGAAGATCTGAACAGTGTGAGATCGCTTCCCAAAGCTTTTCGTCTGTTTGCAAAAGCTTTTAGCACGGAGAAGAGAAGTTTTTGGAGGGCACGGTATCATACTCCTTCAGACTCACCGAGGCTGCCCAGTGCTCCAAAAACAGATTGGATGTCCTGTGCTGGCAGCCTTGGTGAGCCAAGCTGAGCAGGGTGTGCTCATCTCACTCAGCCTTTGCTCTCACCACTCTGCATTTGGACATCGGGATCAGGTGGCTTAGCGGCCTGGCTGGGGAGGGAGAGGGGAACCAGGCCATTTGCATGAGTAGAGCTTTGCGTGCCTGATTCTGAATAGGCCATGGCCTTTTACTGGGATTGGGGATCCCTGATGAACATGGTGCAAGATGTTATATTTCTTGGGAATCAGAATTGCTGAAAAAATAAGACACTGAACTTTGCCTTTTATTTCTATGAAAAAAAATATATGGAGTTTCCAATTTGTCTTGGGAAAACATTTTTGCTTCCATAATTCTTTTTAATATAAACATACTAAATCTGCTGATGCCTTCAAATATCAATGGTACAATACATAAGAATGAATTGCCTGAATAGGCTTGAACACTTGCTTCATTCATGTTGGTGATAGGCATCAAAAAGAATAATGCATAGAATTACACACTTGTGTTATACACTTGTTCAGTGCTTCTTTTTCTATACCTTTTTTTACTTTTATCATGTTGATTAACCAGAAAGAGGCTAGTGTGATGAATATGATTAAAAGGTCTACAAAGGCCTTTCAGTGTATTGTTGGTATTTTTCACCAGTTTCAGCTAATTCTGAACATTTGCTTTCCTGACATAAGCTTAATAGTTCCAGGCTACCTCTGCGTACTCTTCTTTTTTATTTTATATGATGTGCATGTATATATTCAATCTTAATAAGGTACTGTTGAAGGAAAAATCTTTATCAGGGTCCAGTCCAAGCTGGGAACAAACAACATGGTGACTGCTTTATAAAGAAGGTTGTAGTTTAGCCACATGCAGCAGGGAGTGGGTTTTTATACCTTCTGGGGGGTCTTGAGATTGTTTCCTGTTCCTGTTTGAGGCTTTGTATTTCCTGGGTCATGTACTTTGACCTGAGTCTGAGTGTGCCCCTTTGGCATCTGTGGGTTAATACTATTATGTCCTGTCTTACAGTTTGGGTGGGGTATGATTTTAAGGGTTTTTGTCTTCCTGATCTTTTCAGCTTCTAGCTGGAGGGCTCCAACCTTCCTGAGTGGATTATTACATCTGCATTTCTAAAAGCTGTTTTCTGCTGAGTTGTCTGGCTCTCTCTCTCTCTCTCTCTCTCTCTCTCTCTCTCTCTCTCTCTCTCTCTCTCTGTGTGTGTGTGTGTGTGTGTGGAGAAGTTTCTTCCTTTTTAAAGATCTTCTCCATTATTCCTTTGGGGAAATATATTCTGCCTTTTTAATATTCTCCAAAATATTTCTTTCTCTGGATTCTTCCCACAGTACTTTTGAGGATTATTACAATTCCTTTGTTTTGAATAGTCTTATAATCAGATTCATTTTCATCTTGTCCATCTATGTTCACAAAACATCTAATTAAGAATGTTTCATTTCTGCTTTAATCATTCCAGATTCTTTTTTATTCTTCTTATACTCCCTGTTCCCCTTGTACTTATCCTTGTAAAACAAAGAAGTTCTTTTTGAATATTGGAAAAATCAGTGATCAGAATTTCATATAGCAGTGATGGCAAACCTTTTAGAGACCGAGTGCCCAAACCACAACCCAAAACCCACTTATTTATCTCAAAGTGCCAGGGCCGCATCAGCATTGTGGTGCCCTCAGTGAGGGGAGCAGGGAGGTGCATCTGAGTGCCACCTCTGGTACACAAAAACCAGGGGCGCAAAAATGGGCCACCATGCTGCAAAGCGCAAAAACAGCCGCTGCCACGCTGTGGGGTGCAGATATAAGGTGTTGCACCACGCAAGAATGGGGCAGGGCTAGTGAGTATCATGCAGGCACTAGCCCCGCCTCATTTGCAGCATGTGCATGCTCATGGCCCCATGCGCACATGCATGTATGTAAAATGCTTCCCCCTCCCTTTTCTTTCAGTCCACCAATCGACAATGGTTGGTGACCTCTGCTCTACCACCTCTACTCAAGCTTGCTGGTTGGCCACTTCACCTCCTTTGTGCTGGGCAGGGCTCCTGGTCTGGGTGGCGGTGGCACATGTGCCAACAGAGAGGGCTCTGCGTGCCGTCTCTGACACACGTGCCATAGGTTCACCACCACTGTCATATAGTTTGGTCTGGTTATCTTCTCAAGATCTTCTTGTGAAACTTCAGTGCTCTTTTCCAGTAACTAGAAGAGGATCTTATGGACTGAAGATAAGGCATTAATTTTTTTCTAAATGCAACCATGTCAATATGGTTTTCTTGGCATTAGATTGCTTATTTCCTTTTCTATATTTACTTCTGGAGGATTTTATTTTCTAGCTGGATCAACCTCATTATTTTAAATCCTACATGCCCTAATTCCTCTTTGAATTACTCTTAGGCTTAATCCATTTCCTTTAGAAGCCAGTTCCTTTTCTGGACAGTACCACATTCTGGATCATTGACACTATGGTAAGGACTGCTTTTTTGTTTTGTTTTTTTTACAAAAAATAGACTATATTAATACATTTTAAAAGTAAAAGTAATTAAATGTGCACTAGGCTGGCTTTCCTCTAAAACATACAGTAAAATAAGAAAGGAAAGATACTGAATTCAGCCGCAACAGATCTGGTAGACTGCAGCCTCTTATACCAATCTAAGGGTAATTTTTTCTACTTTCCATTTTCTCTATTGAAGAAAGCAAGATAATTCTAGAAAATGAAAAGCTAAAAAGGATGCCAGGATAAGTATTTTTTTTTAAAAAAAACTTCAGATGCTATTTTTACATCACATATAAAATTGCTGTGAAACTTTGACAATACTAATACTAATTTCCCCAGTGTCATTATGATTAATTTCTATAATTAAAAAACATCCAAAATTACATCATAGGTTAATATCTTTATTAGAACAATTTAAGATGTTACAGTGGTGTTCTGGAGATCTCAGTAGAAGCATGCATGAGCCAACAGAAGAAACATGCCAAGCCTAAATTTAAATGCACATGCATTTAATCTGTTACATATGAGAAGTTACTAATAGATTTTTTTCATTTTTAGTTGTGATATATCTGTAGAATGAAAGTAAACTTTCATTTTTAATAAGCAAACTATCATGTTGATAACATGATCGAATACTTTCCTAGCATTGTGGTAAGTCCTATTGTAAAGAAATGGGCAACTGAAATGTACTTTATCTTCTTTTTCTTTCTGTGAGCTCTACCACACGCTAATTTGACTGGCATGCATCCCTATTGAACACTTGATGTTGAACAAAGAGTGATACATTTCAAAAAGCTGTACTGTTTTTGGAAAATTCATTTGTATTAACTTGGCTCCTCTTTGAGTGAATTAGTGAACTCATGAGTTCACTCTATGCTTGCAGAATCTGTTTTTCCCCAGAAGGGGAAAAGGTACTGTTTGTTGTGTCCTGGAGCCTTGATGGATTTCATTTGGTTTGTTTAATAAAGTTTGCTTCAGTTTTTGCTATTGGGCATGGAAGATGAAATGGGAAGTACTGAATGCTTAACATTATCTTGACTTAGTTTATTGGATACTTGAACAAAGGAAAATAATAGTTAACTTAAATTGTTCTCTGCCGTATACAGACAATATCATTCTGAAAGTATTACAGATCTGTGGAATTGTGGCAAAATGGTGGGTTGTCAAAACTGATGGTAGAACACATCTGCTTCTCTTTCCTGCCACTGATTGCAATTACATCAGATTTTTAAAAGCTGCTCTATATTGAGTCAAATCACTATTCTATCTAGCTTTGAAGTTTCAGAAAAGGTCTTCCCCAGTTCTACCCTGAAATGCTATAAAACTAAATTTAGAGCAGATCTTCTATATATTCTAATCCTTCTTAGAACAGGATAAATTATATTCTGACACTGGTTAGTGGTAAAACATCATCTCCCTTCAGTCCTTCTATAGGCTATTTTAGAGATTTGGGAATGCAACTTTTTTATATACCTTTCCCTCCCAGGTTACTAAATATTAAAACTCCCAGGGTGGAAAGAGAGAAGGCAACTGCAACAAGAATAATACACATATGTACCTACGTGAATGAGGAAAGATAAGATAATGCTTCCCTTTCCTTCCACCTGGCTACCCAGAAAACAAATGCTATTGAATGTTCTTTGAATTAGTAATTTTTCCATCATAATTATAGCCATAAGTATCACAAAATTATTACATATTTCTAAACGATTGTTTTAAAGCTACAGTATTGACTTTGTTTTCATAACACGGCAATATGTTCAACTGGATGAATAAATTCATAACCTGCTAATTTACAGAAAAATTGCTTTCTGAGTAAATGATATGAGTAAATAATAAAATATAACAATGCAGCGTATGATTTCAAAGATCTGATCTAAGACATTCATTCTTAATATATGAACAGAAAATTATTACAAGTACATCAGAATCTCTTTGTTGATCATACTGGATCCTATTTATTGTCTTGGAATGTGAGTTCCATTGGTTCCATTTGTTGGCCTAAAAAGAAAAGACAGAGCTTGAAATACATGCAATACAAAGTGGCCAATCTTTTTGAATCAATGGGAGCATTTTAATTTTAAAAGTTCTCATAAAAGGGATAATCTTTAATGGACTGCCTGTTCACTGTGGTTATGGTAAATCACAAAAATATATTTATTAGTGATAGTACATATGGGCTACAAAAATCTGGAGAGCCATTAGATCATGGCAAATGGGATACAGTTGTCTGGATTTTTGCAGCCCAGATCTGGTAAACCTATTTATGTCACAAAACCAGCTATCCAGTTTGCATTCTGCCAAACTCATAACTTTTTTTTATCCTATGGGGTCGATCTCTGGGCTGCTCATGTCCATCAAATGTCAATCTATTTCTGCAATTAAATATTGAAGTTTAAACATTAACCTGGAGATTGATAGCATGTTTCAACCCAATTTTAGTAAGTGAAACTTAAGTGTATGGAAAGGGGCAAAGGGTAGCATAATGGAAAACTCACCGTATACATTTGCATTTTCTTCTGCTTCTCCTTGAACCTTTGGCAGGAAAATATATATATATATATGAAGAAATAACATTTTGCACTGTTTTGCTATTCTTTCATTTTTTTATATGCTGTATTACCCAAATTCATAATGATGATAGATACAGTAGATAGAGACATCTATGGAGATTCTCAATCATCCAGGTCATGGTTGCCCAAAGTGCTTTTCAAAAATCAACTGGACTTTATAATTTTTTTCTAGAAAATGTTTCACTTCTTAACCAAGAAACTTCTTTAGGCCTGACTGAATGGTGGGAAATGGAAGAATTTATATTGTTTGCAGTTATCTGGTCGTTAGCATTCTGAAGATCAGTTGTTAGCTCTCTGATATTCATTGATGCCACTTGAGGTTTTATCTATATCCTCAGGTTCACCTGAATCAGAGAACAAATGGGTGTGGAACCTGCTTGGGACTGCTGAAAGGACTGTATTGAAGACAAGAGATAGGTGGTGTCATATCTCTCACCCTCTGTTGAGAGAGGGCTGCTCAATTTTAACATAGATGGCCTCTTTGACCTCTTTTTCAAAGAAGTGGCCCTACTGAATCCACCAGGTGGACTGCTGAATCTTGTCCTGATGCATTTGCCATCCTATGTTATGTTGTGCCATGCATTTGTGAAGTGGTTGTTTCTCCAAAGTACAGATCTGCACATGTCTCACTGTATTGTACTGCATGTATCACATTGCTCAGTATGTGTCTGGTTGTTTTATCCTTGGGGTGAACAAGCTTCTGCCCTAGTGTATTCTTGGGTTTAAAATGTGTATGTATATTGTGTTGGTTGAAAATCCTCCTGAGCTTTGCAGATATTCCTACAACATATGGAATGACAACGTTGTTTTGTTTGTTCTCTTTTTTTTCTGTTCTCTTCTTTGTCTTCTTTGTTCTTCTTCAGACTAGTGCATGCTGCCACATAGGAGGACAAACCCATCAGGACAAGATTCAGCAGTTATTTGCATTTGAAAGACAAAGATCACTCTTTTGAGGACAGCAAAGTCCATATTCTGGACAGAGAGGACCACTGTTTGAAAGAGGGGTAAAAGAGGCCATCTGTGTTAAAATTGAGCAGCTCTCTCTTGACAGAGGGAAGAAACACCTTCTATCTCCTATCTACAACATAGTCCTTTCAACAATCCCAAGAAGGTTCCACATCCATTTGCATCCTGACTCAGGTGACCCTGGGGGTACAGATAAAGCTTCAATGACTCTCAGACTCAGAGAGCTAACGACCCATCTTCAGAGTGCTAACAACCAGATGACGCCAAAGAATATAAATCCTTCTATTCCCCACCATTCAGTCAGAACTGAAAAAGCTTCCTGAGTACTATTATCTCCCCCTCCCCATTTTCCTCTTGCATGTGGATATGTGGACTGCAGTGGTTTTAAATTTCCATCAAAAATGTTTCACAGTTTTAGAATGGCTCAAGTAAACTAGTTCTTAATGTAAATAAGTATTCATAATCATTCCAGAAACAGGAAGTAAAGATACATCTTTACTTGAGTAGATATATGTCTAATTTTAAACTAATCTCTTAGTAACTGTCAACAGTTGAACCATCAAACATAGTTTAAAGGAAATCTTCTTACCACAGCACAGTGATATGACGATTATCAGGGTTATCAGCAGCAGAAGAGAAACACCAGCTAAGGGAACCCATACATAAAGGTCACAGGAGAACATTGTACTTTTTGTATTTGTTGTTACTGAAATACAAAGCAAAGGAAGAGCAACACTTTCAAAAATGTTATCCCTCCAGTTTTTGATAAAGTCTTATTATTTGAAGAAATTTATTAATCTATTATAATGAGTTGCATTGTACAACTTGTTCTAGAAGAACAACATTGTTAATTGCCAGCATAGAAACATAGTGGAAAAATGTAGTGTTTTTTTTTGTAATTTTCACTATTTCTCTTATTAGTTTAGGGGAAGGTCCTTGTCTTTTCTCGTCAGGAACATCCCACATCCTTCTATGGGAAGGATCCCTGAAAAAGAGAGAGAGAGAGAGAGAGAGAAAGAGGGAGAGGTGGGTGGGGTGGGAAATGATACAACCTGCTCTGTTGAACTTCCCCTCCCACACTCACAAGGGCCTTATCAATGACTACCATACAGGGCAGATCCCTGAATTCCACCATCTTCCTACTATGTTTCATCTCCTTATATTTACTCCATATACTTAAAAAAAGAGGTTAATATAACCTGACCCTGTTGTGAAGTTGTATTTTCAACTCCTGATATGTTGATATTATGAGTTCTGTAATGCTTTAGCTGAACAGCAATATGGCTGTGATCCTCAAGTAGCTATAGTGGCAGTGATTACTGGCAACTTTGCAGAAATGCTTATTAATATATCTTTCCCCCCCTCCAATTAAAACCTTTACGCCCACCTCACAAGGACCTGCCCCATCCCCTTGGCTTTTGTTTGCATTGTTAACTGACTTGCAGTATTCCTCTCTGGCTCAATGAGCCTTTCCAACTGTTTGCTCCATTGGAGAAGAGATCCACAGGAGGAAGAAAGACAGAGAAGCAACATCAGGATGCTCTGCTCAGCTAATGTTAAGCCATAACCAGAAACGCTTCTCTCAACAGCTTAGAATGACTGTGGAACTTGCATTTGGATGAATGGATGTTGTTTGCAGCATGAGGTGTTTTTTGTGGTAAATCCAGAGCCTAAAGTGTTTCATTTATGGCCTCTAATTTGTAATTAAGCTAAGGAAACATACCTATGACTGTAGAATTGGGACATTTCATAGCTTCTTCTTTTATCAGTTCTTTGGTGGTGATTGAAATTTGCTGTGGGATGGTAGGAAGCACAGTAGTAGTTTTCACTGTAAACAAGATAAATGTGAAAGTGTTTTTCTTCTGTTTTCATGGTTAATGGCTGATGGTTTATAACAAGGTTTCTCTTCCATAGTTTTAAATGATTCCAAAATCAACATAGATATGATAAAAGAAAAAAAAATGCAGAGAAATAAAGCAATTCTCTCCTGATTAATATCATCCCCAATGATGAGAGGAAAGAAAACCATACTTTCCCCATATATATGATAAAAGTACATGCTAGAGTAGAAGCTGATGTGGCAGGGAAGATATAAATGGGGAATTTAAAGCTTATGATGAAACCTACCTGGCAGGTGTACTAGGATGCCTGAACTAAAACTCAGCATCTGATTGCGATGGCGCATACAAAAATAGGTACCCTCATGGTTCTCTTCAAAGCTGGCAATAGTTAGCTGGTAATAGTTGCCAATTTTTGTAGACGTGTAGCCTTCAGGAATACCCTTTATCTCTCTAGATCTTGATGTAACATGTGCAATGAAATGGAGTTTGTTATTCAGTTTCTGAAGAATCCAAAATACACCAGCATCTACGTAGTCAGTCTCACATTTGAATTCCACTTTGGTTCCAAATGTTTGGGGAGAATTGCTGATCATCTTGATTTCTAGTAGGTCTGTTTTGAACCCACAGCAGCCTAGAGAGAGGGGGAAAGTTCAGTTGCAGTCCAAGAATTTTAAACACATTCTTATTGTCTGGATTGGCTGAAAGTTAAGAAAAAAGTATTAAACAGTTCTGAAATGAATGTTGATCTAGAACTGGGGTCAGTCATGAAATAACAAACCCAGCATGGCCTACAATAACGTGATGGGAAAAAATGGAAGAAATGCAATTTGCTATCTTTTGCTTTTAAAGGAAAGGCAGGATATAAATCTTTTTTTTTTTTTTCAAAAAAAGGTATAGCAACAAGATGCAGATAAAAAGGTGTAGGGCAATAAAGCACATTGGAAAACTTTTTAATTTAGTCTTGGAATTGTTAGTAATATATCAGTTTTTAATATAAATGGGATAAAGTCAATTCTTTTGAATACAAGATGCAAAAATGCAATTATACTTCATCATTACCAGCCCTAATAAGTAACAGAATAACAGAGCTGGGGGGGACCTTGGAGGTCTTCTAGTCTAACCCTCTGCTCAAGCAGAAAATCCTATACCATTTAGACAAATCGCTATCCAATCTCTTCTTAAAATCTTCAGTGATGGAGCACTCACAACTTCTGAAGGCAAATTGTTCCACTGATTAATTGTCAGGAAATGTCTCATTATTTCTAGGTTACTTCTCTCCTTGATTAGTTTCCATTCATTGCTTCTTGTCCCACCTTCAAGTGCATTGAAGAATAGGTTGACTTCCTTTTCTTTGTGGCAGCCCCTCAAATATTGGAACATGGCTATCATGTAACCCTTAGTTGTTCTTTTCATTGAATTAAACATATTCAATTCCTGCAACTGTTCTTAGCCTCCAGACCCCAACTCATCTTTGTTGTTCTTCTCTGCACTCTTTTTAGAGTCTTTTTTATATTGTGGTGATCAAAACTGGATGCAATATTCCAAGTGTGTGTTCTTATCAAGGCCTGATAAAGTGGCACTAAAACTTTGCATGATTTTAATTCTATACCTTTATTAATGCAGCCTAGGTCAGCATTGTTGCAAATCCATCTGATCAAGATGCTATCCAACTCATATTTTTCTATCTTACCAAAACATAGGATGTAGTCTACTTTATGAAGTGCCTTACTGAAGTACAAATTATGTCCACATCATTTTGCTGGTCTAATTTAGTCACTTTGTTTAAAAATACAATAACATTTGTCTGGCATGATCTGTTTTTGACAAACCCATGCTGGCTTCTGATTATAACTCTGCTTGCCTGTAGGTGTTCATAGTTTTATTGCTTGATTATCTTTTCTAGGATTTTGCCAACTATTGATGTTAGGCTGATTGGTCTGTAGTTTCTTCCTGCATCCATTCTGCCGCCCCCCCCTGCTTTTTTTGAAGATGGGAACTGCATCAGTTTTTTTCTGGTTATATGATTTATATTCTGGATGTAAGATTAATTGAAATAAATCTAATTTACTTCCTTTAGGGTTGGATATCTCATTAGAATGGTTGATATAGATAGGATTTTTGGTCTCTATCAATTTAATTAAATATTTATGGATTTATATTCCTATATTTCCAAATCTGTCCAAGTTAATATGTCTACTCTGCCGGAACATATTACATTAGATTTTGATAGATGTTATAAGATACTTTTGACTTAGTGGGGTAAAATAAATGTGATTAAAATGAATATAACTCTCAGTCTTGTATAAGCTTTAAGAGAATAACTATGTTTAATCTAAAAAATATTTTGATCAAAGTGATATTAGTTGGGAAAGTGACACACCTAGAATCTCTCTTTCTAAATTAAATTTGCCTATGACAGATGGCAGTTTTAATCTTCTGAATTTCCAGAACAGTTACTGGCCTTGCATTTTAGTGTAGATATTTTATAGGAATGATTCTTTTGGGAACTGAATGCCACTGTAATTTAAATTGGAATGTTATTGTACATACTCATTTAAGTCTTGGCAGTTGGTAGGTATAACATTTATTAGCACTAATTTAGTGTTTCCAACTTCGTTAGCGATAAGATGTACTTGGGCCCTGTTAGGTTAGTTTTGATATGAACTCACATGAATACTCAACTCTTTGGAATAACTTTACTCTTAAAATCAATGGAAAAAATGGTCATAAAAGGGTACCATCTTTTTAGCAACTTAAAAGTGGAGGTAAACCCAGTTAAAGCATATCTTGACAGTTCAGCATGGATTCAATGCTTTAGCAGCTCCCAAAATATCTATGTTATTAATATTGAAAAATTCAATGTCAGAATTCAAGCTTATTTTTTTCTGGTCAAAAACTAAAGTAATAGTTTAAAATATCTATAACAAATATACAAGAAGCTTGGAATCAAGAATGGGAAACTTCAGTTCCTTACAACTAATGGACTGAAGTTTTGAAGAACTAAGTTTCTGTTATGTGATTTAAAATTGAAATTATTCGATCAAAACTTTTTTTTATCAGATGGACACCATCTAGAATGCTCTGTAGAGAACAGATTAATGATTATTGACCAAACTCATGACTACTTCAAGGAAGGGAAATATCAAAATAGAAATTGACAGTGAAAAGATAGAATGTGTGGAAAAAACCACTTTCTTAGGATCACAGATAGTTGGAAGTGGTGAATGTAGCACAGAAATAAAATGTTGGATTGCACATAGTTGCCAGCAATGATGCATATGAACCAAATATGGAAAAGCAAGGACATCATCCTGGCAATCAAATGCAGGTTAGTTTGCTTTATTGTGTTCCCCGTAGCTATTTATGGTTGTGAAAGTTGGTCTTTAAAAATCAAAACAGAAAGAAAATTGATTAATTTGAGCTATGGTGCTGGAGAAGGCTCCTGCATATTTCTTGGACAGCAAAGGTGACTAATAATTAAGTACTCATTTACTTTGCCCACGTCATGGAAGGAAATTCACTGGACAAAACAATTATGTTAGTGGTAAAAGGAAACCAGACTGTCAAAGAACACAGTAACTGGACACTATCAAAGCTGACACCAGCCAGAACATAGGAAAACTCAAAGAAATAGTGCAAGATTGGAAGATACAGATAGACCTGGATCATAGAATTGCCAGGGGTCAGACTCGATTGAATGGATAATATCATCATCATCATCAACATCATATATCATCATCATCATCATCATGCAAGAAATTTAGGGCATTTAACTCAAATGTTATAATCATACTTCTCTTTTCATCTCTTTTGGAATAATGGCATATAGTATATTGACAGAATTATTAGAGAAGACTCTGGTTATAAAAACATGTAGATTGTACTGAATTATATATTGACAATTTGGAATTTAACATGTTCAGAAGAAATATGGATTTTTGTTCTCCTATAATATCAAAAAGAATAATCTTTAGAAGATAGAAAAACAGTATAATTTGAGATAAAAAGATTGGATTTCAGAGATGTGTGAATTAGCATTTTTTGAGAAAATTATATATTGGATTAATCAGAAAATGTCAAATTATCTTTCCCTTTGTAAAAAATTCATGGCCAACTCTGTCAGCATTTTTATTTAAAAAAAGACATGACAAATCACATGAATTTGGAATGCTATGAACATAGGTTTGGAGTTTTTTTTTTTACATATTTTCTTGTTTTTCTTTCCTTTCGTATTTGTCTACAGTAAATTTGTTCATTTTTATTTTACATTACTTTATGTCTGTTGAAAATGGATTAATCAAATCTAAAAGATAAAAAAAATACAATGGGAAATTCAAGATATATTATGTGCCATCATTCTCGACTCCTTGATCATACAGATAGAATTCTGGGTAACAGTGCTAATTTTATTTGAAGAATTTTGAGAAGAGCTGCTAAGATGATTAGAGGCCTGGAGAGAAAAACATGAATAATGGTTGCAGGAATTGGGTATGGCTAGTTGACAGAAAAGAAGGATTAGGGGTGACATGATAGGAATATTCCAGTATTTGAGGGGCTGCCACAAAGAAAAGGGGGATCAATTTATTTTCCAAAGCACCAGAGGACAGGATAAGAAACAATGGGTGAAAACTAATCAAAGAGAGAAGCAACCTGAAATTAAGGAGAAATTTCCTGACAATTAGAACAATTAACTAGTGGAACAGCTAGCCTTCAGAAATTGTGGGTGCTCCATCACTGGAGGTTTTTAAGAAGAGACTGGACAACCACTTGTTTGAAATGGTATAGGTTCTCCTGCTTGAGCAGGGGGTTGGACTAGGAGACCTCCAAGGTCCCTTCCAGCTCTATTCCAAATTGAATTGAAAAAGTGAATTGAATTGAAAAAAACTAAAATTATGTTAGAACCAGGACTGAATATTTTTTTTTATCCAGTGACACAACTCTCTTTAAGTAAAATTCCAGATTTCCATATATTAGTGCTGAAATTCATTGTGTTGGCTGTATTTTGTTGTATGCTTGCAAGATATTTAATATCAGTGATATAATAACAGTGATACAATTTTCAATAATCCCTTAAAAACCATTGCTTGTTTCCTTAATAATCTGTTCATATGGCAGAGATGCAGATATTGATACAAAGTTTTGATTTCAGAAGAATAAGCTAGCTGCAAAAACAAAAAACAACTCTTGGTAGTTTAATGCATTTATAGAAAAATGTGGTGGTATGTATGCTGAGATATGTTAATTATAGATATTGAAGTATATGTACTTTCCTATGCAGAGAATTATAACAAAGGTTAGTTTGTTTGAGGTAATGAGATATATGGGTCAGAAATTAATGTATCAAATATTAAAGTATTTGTATTAGATCATGAATTTTATCTGTGTAAATGCCAAATTTGAGCATGTAAATTAATTTGTTGATCTTAAAAATATTATTTTGCTGAATGTTGCAGACATTTTACTTGGTAAAATAGTAATAGTAGTACATGGTCTGTTGGAAGAAATGAATATTTGTTCAATAAGTAAAAAAATTAATGAGGACTGAATTGCAAAACAATATTGGAAGGAAGGAAGAAAAGAAGGAAGGAACAATGAACAAATGTGTTAGAGAAAGGGAAAAACTAAGAAAGGTGCGGTTGACTGAAACTCACGAACACCTGAAAAGAAATAGACGAGAATTTTAAAGAAAAACAGGCAATGTATGAAGTAACGTGCAGACATAAGAGCAAAAGTGGTCTTCCAGGAACAGATAGATATGGAGAGGAATAGTAAGTAGTTTTGTGAAAACTACAGCTGTGCTTCTTTCCTTTTTGTTATCTCATGCTTTTAATTTTTTAAAATGTTTTTTTCTATTTCTCAAAATTGCTTACTTTGAAGAGGAATAGCGCGAAAGGTATGTAAATATATGCATATGGAAATTATTTTTTTCTCAGATATTAATTCGGTTTTCTACTTCTATAATCTGTGTTTTTTCTCAGTTGTAGCCTCCTCACCTTTATCCAACCAGCCCACCTAATAATTTAAAAAAAATAGACTTGTAGACAAAATAATATTAACAGTAACAACAAGTTAGATTTAGATACCACTTTTGGCTTTTCTATGGATTCCCTCTTCACTTTTAACTCACAGTATGAGATAGGCTGGACATAATTTTGTTATATAGCCTTGGATTCTGATTTTCAAATAAAAGAAATTTACAAGACTTTAGAAACCCACTGAAGCCTTGTATCATGTTCAAAATATTTTTAAAAGTTTTTCAATTATTGCTTATTTAAGGATTTTCCCCCAACCATCCACGCAAAGGAATAGGATCATACTCACATAAAATCAGACCAAAGAACCATAGAAGATAGAAAATTTTGGCCATTTTTTTCTTTTGGCAATCTTTCTTTAGAAAAGGAAGAGGAGAATTATGATTAACTTGATGGATGAAATAGGTTCCCATTAGTGGAAGAGGATGTGATGTCAGCTACCTCCCCTCCCTCTCAGAAGAGTTTGAGCTTTCCAATAAGCAAGTTGAACAAGAATAACCTGAAGGGGCATCTGGTGGATTTATATGCAAAATTGAAGTCAGTCAGCTACCTTGCTTATCCAGGCCATAAACAATATGGGAAACTTTTACGTCTTGGGGTTCGCAGCATTGAAGCGACACACACTCACGTTGTAACCAAGTTCTTCTTTATTTGATCCACGTTACCACTCAGTAACCCAACAGGCTCGCAGGCCTTTTATAGTCTTCCAAACAACCTATCATAAATCTCCTTTATTTGTGCCTTGCTCATGTACGCAAGGCCGGTGCCAACCAGTCTGGTCCCGGGCAGCTTTTGGGTTGCCCAGGACTTTTTGCAACATTTCTGGGCCTGCTGAGCTGCCTCATCAGACCCAGGACACAACAGAAACAGTTAAAAAGGAGAAGGTATGCAAACGTAATGGTTTATAAGTTCAGTTTAGCTTCCTGCAACTGTCTTAGAACCTCCCATATACCATTTGTATATCTATGTGCATTATTTATGCAGATTAAGCTGGGATAATGAAGTTAAAGGAACATTAAGATCATCATAGAGTAACAGTACTCTGTCAGCTCTAAAAATATCCAACTTTGATCGCCATTATTCAGCAGAAATTCTCAAAATGCACAGGGTCACCAAGAACTGTGTGTTTGAGTATCTGGACAAATGTTGATCACTGGAAATGTGGGGGCAGTATAAGATAACCTCTCATACATATCTTCAGATGATAGGATTATAACATCTTTTTGGAATAAAATCTTAATATATATGGTTTCATTATCATTTTAGCCATTGTCTATCCACTGCAGGATGAAGGCCTCTTCTGCAAATTTCCAACCAATATGGTCTTGACCTTTCTTTTGTCAATTGGGCCCACAATACTTGCTGATGTCGTCTATCCTTTTTGCTTTAAGTCTCTTTTGTGGATGCTTTTTAATCAAGTGGGATCCATTCCACAACTGCCTTAGCCCACTTGCCGTCAGTTCTTCTTGCTATGTGACCAGCCCATTTCCATTTTAATCATCAACTCTCTTCGTGATATTGTATACTTTCATTTGTTCTCTAATCCATATGCAGGTCTTTCTACCTTGTCTTGTAATGCCGAGCATGTATCTTTCCATGGCTCTTTGCGCCACTCTTAGCTTTTGAATTGATTGTGAGGTTAGTGTCCATGTTTCTCCAGCATATGTTAGAGCAGATAGCACACACTTTTCTCTTCAGGCATAGGCGGATCTTGTTCTTGAAAATTACGTTTAGCTTGCCGAATGCCTGCCAACCACATTTAATATGCCATTCAATTTCCTTTATTGTATCATGTTTTATTGATTTCCATTGGACAAGGTGCATGTAGCGTCTAGTTCTTCTCTCTCTCTCTCTCTCTCTCTCTCTCTCTCTCTCTCTCTCTCTCTCTTTGTTTTCTGAGGTTTTCGCGGGTGTTTGTATGTAGGTCTTTGGTTGTTACGCGTACGTGGGAGAAAACCCGAACAACCAAAGATCTATCTATCTATCTATCTATCTATCTATCTATCTATCTATCTATCTATCTATCTATCTATCTATCTATCTATCTATCTATCTATTTTCTTTGTTTGGTGAATTTATTAAACATAAGCTGGCTTTTTTTCAGCTTTATTTTTAAGCCAAATGCTTTGTGCAGCTCTTATATGTGTCTTTGTAGTTCTTCTGGGTCTTGTGAGAAGAGAACGTCATCTGCAAATCATATGTGATTTAAATAGGTGACACTGATTTTTATCCCATCTTTTGCCCAGTCTAGTTTGTGAAATACTTCTTCAAGACAGGCTAAGAAAAGGATAGGTGATATTATACCGCCTTGTCATACAATTTGTTCTATGTTGAGTTCCACTTTGAGATCATTAAGGCAAATTTTTGCCATTGTTTTTTCATATATTAATTGTTGTAAGTTTATGTAAGCAATTTCTACACCTTGGTTGAGCAATGCATTAATTATTACTTGCTGGAATACTGAGTCAAACACTTTTTCATAGTCAATGAAAGTATGGTATACTCTTTGTGCCTTTCAATGACTTGCTGAAGAATCTGGATGTGATCCATTTTGTTGTAACCAATTCAGAACCCTGCTTGCTCCTTTGGCTATGCATTATTCTCAATATTCTTTATATATAGATGGTATATGAATTGGGGCACAGTTGATGAACAGAGGACCAAGCTGCATATCATACTGCAAAGATGGAAGCCCACCAGTGTCAATCAAAGTGTGAGGCACTCATAGCACACACACCAAAAATACATTACAGAAAAAGAGCAGTTTTTTGTAATTTCAAAATATTGTGAGAAATATTTTAGAGGGGTGAAATAATCATTTTATCTATTTGTCCCATCAACCCCCAGCTTTGCTGTTTTCCTTGTTACCTTCTGGGAGGAGGCTTTGTGGTATCTGAAGCAGAACATCCAGATTCAGTCACAGCTTTGTTCCATACAGTATTAATTTTGTGAACTCTAAAGCTTCCTCCTTCCGTTATGTATTCAAGATGGACATTGAATAATATTTATATGTTACTTATATGTAAGGGTGTAGGTCCATACATATGTTGTATATAGTATGTTTTAAATATGTTATGTATGTGTACACTTTGAGAGGAAGCAATTACATTTCATTTTTAATGTGTGCCATAGTGCCTACAGTAAAAAAGGACAATAAAGATTATCTCTATCTATCTATCTATCTATCTGTCTGTCCGTCCATCCATCCATCCATCCATCCATCCATCCATCCATCCATCCATCCATCCATCTATCTATCTATCTATCTATCTATCTATCTATCTATCTTTACCTTTTTTACATATGAAATAATCTTTAGGTTTTCTATGTGCAAACATTTCATTTTAATAGATCATTAAACCTCATACTGCTTATGCTACACTGATCCTAGAAGATTGTTTGGGATGTGTTGGAAATGCTTTTATTAGCTGTTGGAAGGAACAACAACAAAAAAAAAAAAAAAAAAACAGGAGAAGGGAGAGTCCTACAGTAACAAAAAGAGGCACCATTCCTGATAGGACCAAAGAAAGAATTACAATGTAATTAGAAAGAATAATATTTAGTCCTAGGGAAAAATAAACTCTTGAAAATGAGAAGACAGTGGTGGATCCAAAGATAAAATACTACAGAATATTAAATGAATAATTTTCCAGGCTAAAGAAGTCATATATAAATATAGTAGCTAGAGCAGCGGTTCTCAACCTGTGGGTCGGGACCCCATTTGGGGTCAAACGACCATTTCACGGGGGTCGCCAAACAACGCAGTCTGCCATTTTTTCCCCTTTTCCTTAGCTGTGCTACTCCCTTTTATTCTATTGGCTTTTGAAAGCCAATAGAATAGACTCTCTTGAATAGAGTCTAATTCTATTGGCTTTCAAAAGCCAATAGGAATTGTCCAGGCTGTCTCTGCCCTGCTGAGCCCGCCAAAAGTCCCATTCTGCAAACGGTGCTGCAAGTTGTCTGCAGCGAAGGCGAGCTGTCTGGAAGTTTCCACCCCTCCCTGCTGAGCAACTACTAAAAATGTAAGTAAAAGAGGGCCAGGAGTGGGAGGTGGGAGGCCGGCAGGCGCAGGGTGGGTTGCTGGTACGCGTAGGGCCCGGCGGGTGCCTTACCTCCCTTGGGCTGGGCCAGCTGGTGGCCTAGCCGGTGGTTGGCCTGCGCCATCTCTGCTGCTTGCCAGCTACGCCTCGGCTGGCACAGGGGGCGGCACCACGCATGCGCGGCGCTCCTGGGCAGGGAAAGTCCTCGACTTACGACCAGTTGGGTAGTCCTTGACTTATGACCGGTTGGGGGTCGCAGCATTAAAAAGGTTGAGAACCACTGAGCTAGAGAGAAGTTACTGTTCTGAAACTGATGATTTTTTAGAATATAGTACAGAATTACCTATTTGGTAACTAAAATCACTTTTAGTTCCCTTTGTAAAGTTTTGTAACAATGCAATTTCTGATCCAAGCACTACTCTGAGCTTCAGTTTGACATGGAATTAAGTCAGACATTGTTAAATATTTTTCTTTGTGATTCTGCTGTCACCCAAAAGAGTCAGGGAAATGTCCATATCAACAATGAAGAGTCAATAAAATAGCAAGATTTTAAAAATTGTCAACTGATGCAGAACTGGAATGAAATAAACACCTTTGGAAAAATGAGAAATTATTTGTCAACCAAATTTCTTCTCTCTATCAACATTAGTATGATAGTGATTTCTAATTCCAAGTAAATGGAAGCCTTCATCAACACAACAACTTCTGTTGTACCTCTTACGATGTTTCAGTTTGCTCTCTTGAATTAATGATCTTGAAAATTAGTGTCTCCTAAGGTGAAGATGAAAGGCAGAGATAGACCAATAACCGGGAGGTCTAAAGTTTCATTCTAAACTTTTGGACCTCCTCGAATTTAATAGCACAAAATATATTGCTTGAGAGAAGAATCTTTATATTTAATCAAGTTTAGAATTGTTTTGATTTGAAATTATGTGAAGGCTGAAGAACATATTTCTTCTCTAATTTATTTTGGAAGAAGAAGATTGTTATTTTTCTCATGTTTTGCTATTGTTTGTACTTGTGGAATTTTTTTTTTTATCTTTGACTCTTAATGACGCCCTTGATTTTTGTATCTGTATGTCTTACTTTATGGCTACGTACAAATTTCAGTTTGTTTTACAGCTGGCTCAGTCTTCCTTTTTTCTTCTCTTCCCCCTTTCTATGCCTCCCCCCTTGCTTTTCCTTTTTCATATTCCTATAAATCAGCATTCAATTATAATATATTATAACAGCTTAATCTGAAAAAGATTCTCCTTTTTCTTTCCCAGTGGTTCAGGTAACATAACAGTAATTTGATTAATTGATTCATTTGTGCAAGGAAATGTTGTATAATGCCTACCTGGGGGCCAATCTGGGTTTATCGATTTTTAAAAATCATCACCATTTTAAAAAAATCATTTATATTTTTTTCTTTGCTTTGATTGAGGTGTAGCATGGATTAATCTGGAAAATGCCTTTTTTCTTGTGATTTTTTGAAAACATCTAACAGTAATTTCTCTTTTATCATGGAATGTTAAAAGGATTGGAGTCTCCAGACAAATGTAGCTGAGTTAAAATTGGATCTAAAAGTGTTTTTTGCAGGAGACTCCTATGCTGCATGAGGATAAACAGTTTTTACAGGATAAGGTAAGGTGGAAATTCAAAAGAAGTACATGCAAGAGTGAACAAAGCATGGTTACCAGGGAAAAAGATCAGTGGTGTGCTCTGTGATCAACGCATGCCAATTCATCTAAAATCAAAGTGTGCCTAGCAACTCTATATAATAGTGAGTGTTTGCCAGTCACCAAATGCATTGAATGTGTTTTATATGCCAGGGAGATTGGTTCATTGGTCATTAAGTATTTCTCTCCTTGACTGTGTCATCAATGGCTCAGTTCAGAAGCAAATGGGCACCGCGCCAACATCAGAGAAAATATAGGCGAAATGCCTACAGTGGTACAGCCATATTCTACAAGCAGCATCCTACATCGCCTTCCACTTTAATATAGATGGCAAGCACCAACATGGAAGGTAGAAGCAAAGATGGCAAGATACAATAAATGTAGACATGAAAAATGGAACCCACTCAAGGCAAGATCCTTTTCTGTAGTAGCATCCATTTTTTGGAACATCATTCCTCCAAGCTGAGATTGTCCCCAATTTTATTGTCCTTCTGGAAGTCCCTGAAAATTTGGTTTAGCCATCAGGCTTGGGAGACCCATGGAAGACAGGAACCTATTAAATTATTGTACTGTGTGTAAATTTAGAATCCATTTTCCCATTTTTTATTATATTTTTAACTGCTTTAATTGTATTTTAATGTCTTTTTAAAATTATACTAATTGACTTTCTAGTTTAACTGTGTGTGCCACAGATCACAAGCATGAGATTGAAAAAAATCTTTCTTTCTTTCTTTCTTTCTTTCTTTCTTTCTTTCTTTCTTTCTTTCTTTCTTTCTTTTCTTTCTTTCTTAAAAAATTACTAAGGAAAGAAAGAATCCTAATCACATTTTTTT